CACCTTCTTCTGAAGAGCGTTCAGATAAGTATTTAATAAAAAACACACATTTTTTTGTAATTATGATTTATTGTTACTACATGAACAGGTACAATATTAATTAACTACAATAATATCTATAGGAATATATTAATAATAATCGAAAGGTAGAGAAGGCGTCAAAAGATCTACAAGATAAAATTAATTGTTTTTTCTGGAAGAGGAAGGAGTTGACAGGAGACTTGTATTTGGTGTTCTTATAATCTATGGTTACGCCACTGTTAACAGCTAGGACTCACTCCTCCTCGATGCTCTGAAGCATTTAACCTCGAACTTGTTGATCTTATTCATCAGTCGAAACGATAAACTTTATTCCCTCTGCAATTCAAATGATCCCACTGGACTTGTTCTCGGTGGGAAGATGACGCCATTACAAGCAGATCCAGCAGGAGTATATGACGCTTAAGTGAATAATTAAACAATTACAGTATCTCGCCTATTTAAATTATAATGCCTAAACATGTAATAAAAGATAAGAACGTGTCATGAAAAATATTTTTCATGAAAATGGACCGACATCATACCAAATATTTGTTTTTCCTTCTAGGGTAATTTGCCGTTATAAAAAAAAATAAACCCCCCTCTAAAACATGAATTCCTAAATCTGCTACTGGTTACTCAGAATCATGATTTTTATATTATCTATCTCTATGAATTACGTGTTGATAGACTAAAAACCTTGTTTAGGATATTATATAAATAACTTAATTATAATTTTTTTTAATGCACATTGAGCTTTACCGCCGTTATTTATAGATTTACTTAATGCTTAAACATTCACCATATTTATTCTTTTTAAATTATAATAGATACAAAACCTATTAAATCTAAGCACCAACTTCTTAAATATATATATTTTTTAATATTGAAAAATTGCCTCTAAAAGTTTTATTTTGTTTATTTATAGCTTCTTTCTTTGTCTATCAGAATAATTACCGCTATATTTATTTATTTCTTCTAAAAAAAAAAGACTCCCCAAAATAACGTAATCTGATAATGAAAACTACAAGTAATTAAACACTAAATATATTTTTCAGACCTCTGGAATTGGGAGAAACTTTGAAACTTGATACTTATTTTTTGAAATTAGCAATATTTATTAGTGTTTTCCTCCAAGGGCAGATCTAGATAAGGATATCATTAAATCGCAGAGCAAATTTAAAGAAGAATCTAAAATATACTAATAAAAAATAAAATAATATAAATAATAATAATAATTTATAAACATACCTAAATTAATTTATAATATAACAAGAGGGGCTTCAGTGGAAACGTTGTGTAAGTCTTGGGCCGACAAAAAAAAAAAAAAAAAATGGATTTGGTAGTCTGTACAGTATTTTCATAATCACCACCCTTTATTATGAGTATCCTATTTTTTTAGAATATAAAATCTCGGATTTAGAAAAGATTAATAATTTATTATTTTATGAAAATTATTAATAATTTAAACCGCTTATCCAATTGGTGTTCTTTAATATTTAAATCAAGATATTTTAAGACCTGGTACTATGAGATCCTTAGCTACCTAGGAGTCGAACAAAACTGTTAACTTTAATAATTAAAAATAAAAATTTAACTTGTATCTATATATGTATACATGTAAAAGTTTTTTTTCATTGACACATGCCGTTTTAAAACAGTTATTTTCTTAACTTTTATTTTCAATCCTCATTAATAAAAGTTTTTATATGACAGTTTTTATAAACCATTTACTTGAATAGGTTTTAATGAAAAAAGTAATATGATTATAAGGTTTTTATTACCAGAAAATACAATCACCAGTATATGTTCATAGCTATAAAAAACATAATACTAATTTTCTAGTCACATTCTTCAGGTTTGGTGCCATTTTCTCATAATTTATCATATAATTTCCGTAATTATATGGAATTATATGATAAAAAATAAAAATAAAAATAAATTATTCCATAATTTTTAAACTAAAATGTATTACTTGTAGTTGTTAAATAATATGTGTCTGATAAGGATGTATTTAAATGGTAAAAAATAAATTAAAATTAGTTTTGCAGGTTCTTGAAAATGGCTCCTGAAGCCGAAACGTTGAATAAAGGATACAGGAGATAAAAAAACTGTTTTTTTTTTGTGACCTTTGGCCTAAAATAGATATATGATAAATTATAATACTAATTTCTCTGTGCATTTAACATAGAAAATATTAACAAGATATGGAACAAGATGTATTACGTAAATTCAAAAATATTAAAACTTTTACTTTTCTATGCCTTTAATATTTATATTTTCTTATAATAATATTATAAAACATTGCCATTTATATTTTCCACTGTAGTACTGAGTTTATATTTGTAACTTTTATTTCAGAGAGAATAAGTAAAGGTTTTACAAATACTTGTTTATGAAATTTATATATGTATTGAAAAGATAAAAACTTTTTTAAGATATACCATTTATCTTTAACCTCTTATTGATATTTTTTTTTAACAGTAAAGTTGAACTACTTTGTAAAAAAAAAATGTGTTTGAACTCCTGATTTTGACTTAATAACAAACACAAGCTCCTTTTATCATGTTTTTATTTATACTAGAATCTTCCTTACAGCCGTCGGTAAAATACTTAAATTTCTCTGAATGTTTTCTGTAATATCTATATCACTAACATAAATCTACTTCTTGCCATTTATGATATATCTGTATTTATTTCGAGGACTAATCTCTCTCTCTCTCTCTCTCTCTCTATATATATATATATATATATATATATATATATATATATATATATATATATATATATATATATATATATATAAAACAAAGATACTATTCACTGATACCATCCTGTCTTATTGTTCGATGTACCTCAAACAATGACGTTGCCTATGGAACTAAAATTTTGGATGATAGTTTCTATTATGTTGTAGATCTGCAAAAGTTTGAAAAAAAAATTTAACTATTGGTTAAAAAAATTATTTCGAAAAACTAAAAAATTAACATTGTTCTTCGAATTGTTCGAAAATTATGTGCCTCCTTCTCCTAATTCGTACCCTGGTTAAATAATAACAATAAAGAGCTTAGCTAACCCGAAGGTTCGATGCTTGTACCACCAACCGGTCTATCGTCTACACCAGGGATCTCCAAATGTTTTGACTCGCGGACCACATTGTGACCTCCACTAAGTCCCGCGGGACGCATTGAGTCCGACACCCAAGTCCCGCGGGCCATGACTTCTGACGAAAAGAAAATCTTGTTCTATAAATGACACTTAAGTTGTGAAACGAGTCTTCTATGAGAAAAAAAAAACGATGCGATGATTGTTGTAATAACCTCGAGTAATTCGTTAAATTATATTTTTTAAATTTTACAATGTTATCAAAGAAACTTTCGCGGGCCGGATTGGAGGCGCTTGCGGGTAGTAGTTTGGAGTCCTCTGGTCTACATACTTCCGTGCACTGGCTGCCGTCCAAACCTAAACCCTCCTCCCCTCCAGATCAGCCTTAGCGCAATCCTCCCACCTTCGCTTCGGTCTATCCGTCGAGAGCTTGCTAGTCGGCACAGCCCAAAGCTCAGAAAAATTAAATATATACTGTGGTTATAAAAAGTAGTGTTTTCTGCTCTAGTTAAAAAAAAAATATATACACACACACACACACACACACACACATATATATATATATATATATATATATATATATATATATATATATGTATGTATGTATGTATGTATGTATATATTTCAAAATAATTTTATTTGAGTTATTTGTATGTGTAATACACGTTATACTATGCATTATGGTTATCTATCTCATCAAGGGTGCACATCCACACTAGGATGATGGCGCATCCTAAGGAAATTTATTGCTCACCTCTAACTTAAGGGTTTAAATCAATTTTTTTTTTTTTATTAGGAGTTTCCACTAATAATGGGTTTCCTTAACCTAAACCTTGGATGGCTTCTTTCCATAATATCCTATCTAAGGTCCATTCTTCCCGTAGTCCATGACCCATCATGGATTCCTCCACTTCGTTATCTCAGGTCTTCCTTGGTTTTCCTCGTCTTCTTCTTTTCGTAGTAAATCAAAGTAAAATTACAAATATTGTAACTTATTTTTTCTCTTGTTCCTTTATTTGAAAGTTCCCACAATCGAAACCCCTCAAAAATCTGTCTTGTTTAAAATCTATCCCATGAAGCCTCTTCAGGGCATCCCTGCTTCCCTTAATAGACGCGGTACAGATTCCTTTTTTTTAAATTTAATTATCAACATTCGTCTAAACCTTCGTTCATGCCTTCTTTTTAATGAAAGCTAAAATGTTTTATTTAAGGAAATTCTCGGAAATTGGCGTTTTCAATCTGAAGTTCGCTAAACTTTGTTAATTTAATGAGAAACTAAAAACTCTTCCATATTGATTTTCTTTCCGCTTGAATAGTGAGATCATAAAATCGAGAAAAAAATATGTCCTACAAGAATATTGGGCCTATATGAAACTTCATTATTTTAACATTTTAACAGGGTGGGGGTCAGTTTAGTACTCCCTAATATTTTCGTAGGTCATTTTTTTTTGTCTCGATTTATCGATCTCGATTCAAGTGAAAAACAAATGGGAGGTGTTCGTGAGTTTTTAGTACTTTATGAAACTGACAAAGCATCCGAAAATTTTCTTTGATAAAACTATAAAATGAAACCGTTCAACAAGTTTTAGACCAATGTTAATAATTTGATAAAATTATACCTCGGAGTATAATACTTCGTAAGTGAATTTATAGCGAGCAAAGCTATGTGTAATAGTTAGTTTTTTTTAATATATATTTCAAAACTTTCTGGTATTATTAAGCATAGTAAATTTTATAATCAAACATGAGGGAAAAGTCAATCCAATGCAATGCCTGAGCGTGAGCCTGGAAGGTGCCACACCCAGGAGAAGTGGCTGACGCAACGACAGATTGACTGACTAATTCGTGATCGGATTGGCCCCTAATTACGACCAATGAGAAGGCGAACCGTAGACGAGCCCCTGACACTTGTTGCTGGTGTGGAAGAACACACGCAGCCGGGAGGAGGTGGAGGGGGCACTTGCTATAAAAGCCAGCGGCCTCTAACCGGCAGCACAGTCCGTCTTCGGCTCTACTTGTGTTAGTTTGTCTCAATTCGTTAAAGCCTTCTGCGGCGAGTACGTCTTCTCTACACAACACTACTTCCATGGATCAATCTATGGTATGTTTCTTTTCGAATATCTTTTTCGATATTTAGTGCATTTTGTAATGATAACAGACCGGGATTATCCACTTCATCATCACCTACATTTTTATAGGTTTTTCATCCCTTTTTATCGAAGAAGAAATTATCTCTGTAGTAATGATACATGAAAGCCATTTCCTTTGTAGTTCAGTTTAATTCAATGCAATATTAGATAATTAGAGGATTTTCTGTACGGACATTTTTTTTTTTTTAAATAACGCATTCGACAAGAACTGTGCGAGTGGAAGAAGCCGCAACGTTAATCTGTACGTTTACCTAAAGGCATCAAATTGAATGGCGTCCCTAGCCAAACATTCCTAACAATTCGTTCCTAGGCCACGATACACTAGATGTTTCGCGGCATTGAATTGTATACCGTTCAGTTGTTATACAATTAATAATTTTTTGTTTTTTATTTTAAACCTATATTTATTGTTATTTAGGATAAAGTTTTATTTATTAATGCTTGGATGATGTTGCAGATGGATTGTGCGAAAATAACGCTGACAGTTTTCGCAGCTCTCTTCTCGTTAGCAGCCGGCAGGACACACTTCCCAGGACATTTCCATGCCGCCTTGACGCAGGAGGTAAAGTATCGATTAAATTTTTTACAGTGGTAATATATCGATTTATAGCTAAGTCGTTTAGATCCACCAGAAAAAAAATTAAAAGAAAAAAAAACCTTTTAGTCAGAATGGTCTAAAAAAAAAGGAGGAAAGAAAAGAAATTGGGAAACGAAGAGATGCCGCGAAACCTGTTCCCACGCGATAACCGCACTTTTTGTTCCATTCATTTTTTTTTTTTTTTTTATTAATTCTTAAACCAGAAATTTGAAACTTCCAGGCTACATAATTAATGGTCTAACATAAATAAATATTAATTATGAGTTCATTCCCTCTACAAAGCAACTATTATATTTTTGAGAAACAAGTAGTTGTTATTTCAAATATACTTGTAGAGAACGATCAGAGAAAATAAATACAAACTGTGAAATGTTGGAACCGTTTGATGTACCGCCCGCCCAGCAACAGAACTTTCCCGTCACCACCTCAGCAGTTGGTCGGAACCGAGTACGTCCGGCTGATGCAACCGTGGTACCGAGTTTCGTTCTTCGGTACCTCGTGGTCAAACCACAGGGGGCTCGTCCCTTTGGCTATTCTTGTACTTAACCAGAGCGTAAATCTCGGAATTTTTTATTTAATATAAACCTGCTATTCCACTTTTACGAAATAAAAATAATAAATTCCTAGGAATCGTTTATTATATTTTTAGTTATTATTAATTTGCTATTGAATTTTGGTAGAGCAGGGATTCTCAACCTGCTTTGAGTGCCGCAAGTGAATGGCACTGTTGCTAGAACACTATTTTAAGTCAAAAACCGTGATTTTGGTAACTAGACACTCTATAAATCTATAAATTTTATATTCATTAACAACAAAATTAATATTAAAATCAGTCAAATTTAGAGCAATATCTATGAATAATGATATTATACATAGCAAACCGATAAAGATTGTACTATATTACCGCTTTAAGGATAAGTTACAATGAACTTTTTTTTCTGATAAGCGTGCTGCGACAAAAAAAAAACTTCTAAAAACTTGAGTATATCGTCGGTTTATTGCAAAAGTCTGGCGGCATTTTTTTCATCAATCTCTTCATTGTAGTAAGTTTTTCAATTTTATTTATCCATACAAAAACCCAGTATATGCATCAATATGATAACAATCCTTTTATATATCAAACATATTTATAATAAGTGCACTTATGTTCTGATCTCACAGAGAGGGAATTCATCTGAGTACTTAGTGAATTAATTTTATGAATCGTCACTTAATGATATTTTGAAATAAAACGACGGTATATCGGTTTAAATTACAACGCTAATACACTTCATTGCATTCTCTACGAAAGCTTATATATAAAAAGTTTAAAGTATTTGGGAGGATAATCTATTTTCAATTTTTTTTTCACTTTAACTACCAAGGTCAGAAGGAAATATCTAAAAAACGCACCTGCCCAATTTATAAGCATTTTCTTCTGCCCGATTTTAGATATTTTTTATAAAAAATCATAATAACTAAATTTTTTAAACCAGATATTGATAAAAAAATAAGTATAGTAGAAAATAAATAATGATAGAATTGTAAAATTTGCCAACTTTTATCCTTCTCCTCCCCGACTTCGAATCAAAATTCCATAAAGTCCGGAATAATTCGTTTAAATTAACATTCGGGTTATTATATTTCCAATATTTCAGAAATCACATTGCTCAGTCTAAGTGAACCTTTGGTAATCTCAAGTATTTTCTTATTATTTTAAGCATTTAAAGCATATTTTCTAATTAGTTGAAGTAGCATTGTATAGATCATGCTATAACACAGAGTTGTGTGAATTAGAGGAAGGAGAAATGGTAGATCTGAGGGGGAAAAAATATATTTGTGGTATATGGTAGTCTATGAATCACGATTATGGGCAGATAGACCACCAATAATCTATTAACATTATTATCTTTATTTTTTTTATCTGCCGGTGATAACTTGTAAAATTTGTGGACTTGTGAGGTTTTTAAAATAAAAGATTCAATTGCCTTATTAATTTAATAACAATTTCGTATTATATGTGTGTATGTGACGGATATATGGGTGGGGGTTGGGGGCTTTCGGGCTGAAACCGCACCCAAAATCGATTTTCTTTTTTTTTTTCATTTTTCCTTATTAGTTACTATGAGTGATCTAAGCTATTAATTAATACTTAAATAATAAAAATATGTTCGAATTTTTAAAATTATAATACATATACAGCTATATGCATGATATATAATATAACATGTTATATGATATAATATAACATTATATCATGAAAAAAATATTTAAAAATTATCTCTAAAAGTATTATTGTATATAATTATATTTTTAATTAGACTTCAAGAATCACTTATCGACATTTCATATAGTTTCTTTCATTTTCTTCCTTCATTACATACATATATATATATATATATATATAAAAGCTTTCAGGCTGAAGTCCCCCCATCTAAATTAAATTATGAATCAGCTACTGGTACATCAAATAAAAAAATAAATAAAATCTTTATTAAATATAAATTATTTCTCAACTTAATGTCGCATTAACTACATTCGAAAAAGTAATTGAAGTTATAAAAGATATGAGCCAATGATTTGACAGGGTTAAAAACTATCGATACATAACTAATAAATTAAATTATTGATAATATTCTAGTATTTGTTTTTTATAATTATCCAACGATTATTGAATTTATGTGTATCGAGCTATTAAGTTCATTAAGCCCTTTGTTATTATTATGTATATAATTTATATCTGTAAATCGAGTGATACAACCTTAAATGATAATTTAATGTATACAAAATTAAAAATGGATTAGATGTAATAACTGAAGTAATTGGTAGTATTTTCCAAAATTATATATCCTTACTATGAATGTTTAGAGAAAATTAAATTTGAACTTAGAGACCATTTTGAACGTTTCCAGACGAATTGAACACAAATCTTGTATGGTATACTTTATATATTATTACACAAAGACTTATTTTGCTTTTTTTATTAAAAGCGAAATAAAGTAATATCGCAGCTGGACTGAAGGCTTTAAATACCACGGACTGATGCAAGAGGAGTGCTCGCCAAAAACTGCAGTAGACACCAAGGCTTCGGTACTCGGATTGTGTCTAGGTCGTCCGTAAATATACCTTTGCACGTTTCAATACAGTCTTCGTGTTTCAAAAAATATTTATATTTGTTCTAAAGTTCATTCGATAGTTATTGATGGACTGTTACACATATAACGCCAAGGAAATTTTACTAGATCGGGAATCAGAGAAACTATGTGACATTTTTTTTTTGGGAGGGGGTGATAATGCTCTTATCTTGTTAAAAAAAAAAATACCTCAGTTGTTGGACCCATTAGTGAGTGGAACCCCTAGTGAATATATTTTGGATAAAAATATAATCTATTTGGTTAAAAAAAAATATTTTTGATAAAACAGAAAATCGACGATTCTGTTTAAAAAGCCGTAACACTGATTTAAAAAAAAGTGCCCCTGTTATTGAATTGATATCGACTCAATAAATCACCCACTGATAAACATTTTAAAAGATATAGTTCAAACAGATTTCTATTGCATATTATGTCTTTTCAATAATATTCTTAATTAGATTTTGTCCTCATTAATGAAAACCCTTTTTTAAACTGTTTTTAATTTATGAAAATATTCGTAATAGAGTATTAAATATTCATATTATAGTAAGGTGCTACGCTCTTACGCTCCAGAATTCCAGTTCAAATCTCCAGCTGTGACAGATAATTATTGTTACATCAATCGTGGATCGATCCTGGGGTCTAGAGATCCTCATGGGGCACTCCCAGTCTCTATAAAGAGGGCACTCTAAAACATATAATTCATTAAGGGGGGGAGAGGGAGATCTGGTGGTTGAGCCGTGATCTCGGTCAAATCGCCTTCTTACACACGAAATATTTTTTTCCTTAAATAATACTGAACCCAAGACCCTTCATGGATTGTAGAGGATACAGGGATTTTTTTAGATATATTCTTAAATAAATATCTTAAACTTTAATAAAATAAGAATAAGAGTTTTAGAAGACAGAATAATTTAAGGAGTGAGGACGTAGACGGGTGGATAACAGATTGTTGGGAGGCGAGGTCAGTATAACTCCGCGGCGGCCCATTGATGATGAGTTGTGAATGGAGCCTGGCTGTGAATGAAGCGGCTGACTCGAGTTCCCCGAACGGCTCTGGGAACTGTTGCTTCTCTTCGTATCTCATGGGACTCTTCTTATCGTGGCCTTTCGGGAGTTCTGTCATCTTCGTCCTCAGCAGTTTTAGCCCTCTGCTTACGCCATGTATTGTTGCCTTTCTTTATTTATTTATTTAAAAATCAGTTTTCACGAATTCTAAATTATCGTGTCCATAATCATTGTCAATCATAGGCATAAATACACCAAGGCCTTGGAACTTGGGACATTCAGAATAGGGGAGGAATATTTAAAAACTTAAAATAATTTAAGCTTAAGAAAAATTGCAAAAAAAGTCGGGCCGATATTATTTAATTAATAAGTAAAAACATAGGGATAATAGGGCAATATGTTAATAGTGAGTGATATTTCATTACGTAATTCTTACAGACTACCATTTACAACCCTTATAGGTTTTTTTTCCGTTTCTCTATGTATCATTTCTCCTACCTGTTGGTGGATACACGAAGAATGAACATTCCGACTGAAGCTCCTCCTCCCTCCATTTGTTCACGTGAGATTCTAAGCTAAACATTTAAACAATCAAAATAGATACTCTTTTTAAATTATAACGCATGGATTTCAGCCGCTAAGTGTTACCACGTATCAAGAAAAAAATATAAAACATTTATTTCTAGAAGCGTTATTGTACCTCTAAACAGTTTTTTTTTTTTTTTTTTTTTTTATTTGGCAGGTATTCAAGTATCATTTAAACACTATTTTATATAGTTTCTTTCTTTTACTTCCAGAATAATAACCGTTATCAAAAAAATTTTCTAGGTTCTGCTACTATAGCTAGTAAAGACAGATTATTTTCGTATTTATTTTAAGAAATTCGTTGCTTGTATTATGGGCTCATCTGGACTATATCTTGTAACCTAAAACTGTCTTCCAATGTTTGGTTTGCTTATCTTCAATTAAAATTAATATCCAACTCATCACTGTCGGATTCAAAGGAGAAGAAGATTTTTTTACAAATGATCTGTGCCAAATACAAACCATACGTTTTCTCTTTCAAATATACCTCTGTGCTTCAGCTACGGAAGTGAGCATGTGTCAAAAAAATAAAAATCAATGAAAAATTATCCCTAAAAGCGTTATGTTTCCTGTAATTTATGTAACTTAAAAAATAAGCAATATAATGCTGTAAAATATCAGCTGAAACTCATATGAGTGATTATAGAAATAAAGTTTGTAATAAGAACAAAATAAGTCACTTAAAGACACATATCTATAACTGTTTAACCTGTTTATTATTTTTAAAAATATTTCTAAGAAATGTAACCTACTTTTGACGTTCAATTCATAGGAATTATATATATATATATATTATATATATATATATATATATATATATATATATATATATATATATATTTAACTGTATATTTTATATCCAATTCAAACTAAAATATTCTCCATTCAATTTATATCTATATAATTCCTCTAAATTAAAGAAATGTCTCTATATTGAAAGACAAATTTATAATTTAAACAAGTATATTAAGTTTGAAATTCTACTGAGTATACTAATATTTAAGGAAGGAGAGGGAGGCATTGAAATTAGTCCAATTATAAAAACTAGATTACCAAGATCAATTATATGTTATTTAATTTAAAATGTTTGAACTCTATAAGTCTTTCTTACCAATATGTGTAACTCACGACAAATTTTGGTTTAATCGAATCAAAATAAAAAAAAATTGTTGTACTTACACGAAAAGATTATTTAGCAAATACAAACTTGTATATATGTTTATAAAATTGAACGCTGAACTATAATTGCTATAGAAGAGATACCGACAAGTTCGATAACCGACTGTAATAAAAATATTAGATAACGTTACATAATAGTTCTATTTTATTTATTTTTTCTACTATTAATCTAATGTTTATTTTTCGATATTGCAATGACGTGATGCTCAACGCTAAATGGTACGGGAAAAACAATCCTACATGTACGTTTCAGTTTGTTTGTTTATTTCATTAAATATTAAATAAACATTAAAAAAAAAAAATGTTTAGATTTTTTGCTTGCAGAGATTTTTATCACATTTATAATACTTTCATTATAATTTATAATCTGTGGTAGAAAAATATCGAAATTCTTAGAGGTTCTATAAAATATCTCGAGTTTGTGTAGGTAATGGCGAATATAATGATACACGATATCGACTCAAATTATAATTATTTGTCAATAAATATAAATATACAAAAACAGAGAAGAATGCAGAGGCAGCTTTCTTAAGGACGCGGGACGAGGAAAAGAATTGAGTCGCAGTTTTGAACAAGGTCAAGCTGGCTCATTAACTTTTTGAACCTCTTCAAACATTTTTCTTATTCTTGAATTTATTATTGCCGCTTCTTTTTTTTTTTTTTTTTTTTCTTTTTTTTCGTTATCTCGGTGCAAACAACGCCTCTGAGCTTAACCTGTTAATTGTTCACAAGTGTTCCTATTTAACAAGATTACACACGGATTATAAAAGAGATAATTATTCATTATACCGTACGGGCTGATGTAATGAAGGGGAAAAAAAACTCATTGCTCAAGTATGTGCTACAGTACTGATGTCATCGAGGCAATAAATCTTACCAAGGAGGGTTTCGAATACGTTGGAAATATGTAAAATAATTTATTTAAAAATATATTTGTACTTATGCGCCATATAAAGAATCATTCTTCATAAACTTTAATTATTACTAACGTTTTTTTATATATAATTTCAACAATTTAATTTAATTACAAATACAAATTATTTTTTTCATCAATAATATTTACGTTTGTAAATTAGTGTTCCTTTTTCTTTTTTTTTCTTTCTTTTTTTTCATGCTCTTCCAAAATCTTTTGAATTAACCTATCCCACTTCGATTGAAATTTGTGGGGAAATGAACTGAGTCGATTATTTGCAAAGTGAAACATAATAGTTTTTTTTTAATAGAGATAAGTGTAATCAATGTGTAAAAACATCCAATGAATCCGATAGTGATTTTTTTTTTCAAATCCGGTCTTTTTTTTCAATGCATGTGACGATACTTGCATTTCTTAAGGCGCGTTTAGACAATTCACAAACTACGGGAAACGCAAATATTTAAATCGTTTTTTCTCTATGCTAATGTTTTTGTTTTAGATGCTTTTCAATTACTGGAGGTAGTAAGAAAAATTAAAATTAAAGTTGGGCATAGCCCTAATGTTGCTATTAGTTAAGTTAGATTTTTGAATTTTCCATAATTCCCCTTTAAATATGCTTTTAAAAAAATACTCGAAAGATTTTAAACATTTTTATTCGAATGAAATATAAAAATAAATTTATTTTACTTTAACTTTTTTTGTTCTAAAACGAGCCTTGAAATTAAATTCGTTCCAAATGCAATCCTGTTAAGTTTCCAATGTGCTGCAAATATTTAAATATTGATTTTCATATTAATGTTGGAATAGAAACTTTAGTTTTCATGTTTCCAAAAGATTTCTTAATGAATATAAGTGTTCACTTAGGAAATAAACGACTCAACTGAAGACCGTCCAAATTTTATATATCTCATTCTTCATCATCAATATCATTCTCAGACAGTTTCGACACCGGTGTTGTGATAGACTTTATCAATGTTAGTGCAAAAAGATATTTATAAGTAACCTTTTAGCTAGTTATCAATCGGATGGCAAAGCAAGGACAACAGAGCATGTATTGTTTTCTATTTTTAGACGGTGAAACTATCACAGTTGAAAACATTTTCATTATCAAAAAAATTAAAAATAAATCCAATTGGAAATTTATCTTATATTTTATTACAGAGAGAAATTATAGTTGCTAATCTTAGCTATATATTGTCTTATCTAAACTTGTTATGACTATTAATTTATTGCCCATAAATAGAAGATTGTTATATTATCCTTTTTTAGTAGATATTAATTTCTTGAAATAAGTAAACTTTGTTCTAAAAAAAATTAACGTTTGCTCTATTGTCTCCACAAAACGAATTATTTACAACAAAAAATAAAATTAATCCTAAATTTATATTCATCAAAAGCGGTCACAGGATTTAATTTTTGGGGTTAATATTTTATAATTCTAATTGTTAATAATAATAACTGTAATTATAGGAATAATATGTTTAGTGTTAAAATTTCTATATTTCCAAATACACATTATAAGTAGCTAAATATACATCACTATTTCACATATTACACATTACATTACTGTAGTTTATACTAAATATACATTTAGTGCTTAAGCATTACACACGCGTTATAATTTAAAAAGAAAAAAATATCCTTATTGTTTAAGTATTTGGCTCAGATATCTTATAGAAACAATTTCTGAAATATTGTTATTATGTCAATGCACTGAACAAAATTTTCTTTTATAGATTTTTTTTTAAAATAGAAACATCACACAGTATTTCCAGTTTTTTCCCCTTCAAGACATTGTTCTTTTTCGTAAAAACCGCTGAAATACCGCGCTGTTCTCAAAGAGCACCTCATATATAATCAAAGACCACGTTTATATATTTTGTACATTAGTTCCCTTCTGATAAATATCATACATTTACTTCCATAAATTATTTATCAAAATTATTATTCTCATTTTTGTTGCGTATCTTTGTTGGAACGCAGCCGATGGCTTGGCTTCGTTTTAAAGAATAATTTTGCTAATTTTATGAAAACAATTCACAATTATTTTTTTTCATTATTATTTTTCCAAATAAGCGACAGGTGTCTTTAACCAAGGATTATGTATGGCCTCCTTCCATATTTGTCTGTCTTAGACCGATTCCTCCATTTCAGTTTTTCTTGGACGACCTTGTCCCCTTCCGTCCATTTTCCAAAAGTACACCTCCCTTGGAAATCTTCCTTCAATTTTTTTAACATTTTTCTCGATCCCTTCTAAAATATGTTTTACTATTTTTCTTTTCTCTACTTTTAACCATTAGGGATATTCTCGCCGTTCGTGCAGAGAAGTCCATTTCCGTTACCATAGATTTCTTAAGTGGTACAGGTTCCTGTTCTATACGTCAAATTATTATACCTTTATAAATAAATCTTCACCTTGTGAAAGAACTATTTCGTTAACTTAAATTATTCCAATAAATTGTTTTAGTATCATTTTTATTATTTTGGATAGTGTTATATCGATATCGATAACGAAGAGCTACTAACTATAAACAAAATATATTTAAGCTGAGCTACGCTCGGTGGAGTGGGATTGTTGCTGAGCGTTGCAGGAGTCAGCAAAGCAAGAACAGTCCTTTAAACATGGAGATTGGATGTGCATTGTTGTTATTGCAGTTATGAAACCCATCTTGTAAGATAGTTCATTGACCACGTGCCCTCATTTATTTAAAAAGTAATTTATTAACTTTTATTATTATTTAACATAAAACAAATATCAAATCGTTTACTCGTTCATTTTGGGATATAACGCTGGGAAGTCCTGTTATATGCGATAAATATCAACGATATTGAATCCGTTCGCAGGTAGTATGATAGCGGAAGTGATAAATACCACAATATATCGGTATTGTGAATCGGATATAGGAGGCGGTACACTTCCGGTGGGTATCTATCACAGAGGCAGTGGATAATGGCCATTATGCCGGAAGATCTCTCGCGTGTACTCTTACACAATAAATAAACTGTCGCATTGTCTTACAATTATCGGAATCCCTTACCCATTATTTTCTATAGATGTTACTTTTTTTAATTGTATTTTATTTTAGTTGAAATACACTTTTTAATGATAATAAAATTAATTTATTTATATTTTGTTTCAGAATACTCTCTCGCCGATGGGATCTAATACTGGTGAGTTTATTTCATTTTAATTATCATTGTATCGTTATTAAGAATGAAACAATTAAATTACTGAAACGTCTAAAATGAGAGTGGTTCAAATTTGAGATTTGTTTAAAAATAAATAAAAGGCGAATGCGAAAATTCTCAACCTTTCGGGATGGTATATTTGAGAAAACACTTTAGAAAGTGTTGTTTCTGCTATTGTTTTTTGGGGATTCTTCAAGAAGGTTGTTTTAACATGAAAATTATAAATTTACCATTTTCAGATATTAGCTATAATATATAAAAATCACATTTCACTCTTTTTATAGAACAGTTACGATTTTGAATTAGACTACAGATATATATCATATATGTAACATTTTTTACTTATTTATGTATCAAATTTACTTAAGCAGTTTTACTAATCAACTGTATTAGAAATTAAGGTATATATGTTTTTTAAATATGAAATGACATTCATGTTTTATAATATAACAAAGTCCTTTAAATAAATAATTTAAAATAAATATCGCATTTCACTTTTTTTTTTAAATAATAACTTAATTTTTAACTTAGGTAAACCCACTATTTCTTTTATACTTTATAGGCCGGAAGTATTAATGTTCAAATTTAAAAAAATCTTTTAGGGTAACAGTTTCAAGGAATTGTATTTAATATTTAAAACATCATAATTTGTTTTTATACATAAAATATGCAAGCAATAACGAGATGGGACTTACCTGTGTGACAAAAATTTATACTGGATTCCTAGATATGTCTATCTAATTTGTTTACTAATTATTGTTAAATATATATATATAAAAAAATCTTCAAATACTCTTATTAATCAAAACCAAGCATACTATTATGCTGAGAAAAAAAAATTTAGACAACTGATTAGAATAAATATAACTGTAATAATTCTGGAAACCAAGAAAGAAACTTATATGAAATGATGTTTAAGTAATCCTTGTAGAGTCTGAAAAAAAAAAGAAAACTAACTACAGGAGTAAAAATGCTTTTAGGGTTTTTTTGTTTTGTTTTTTCTACAGATACTAAATGTAAGCACGTGTTAAAAAAAAAATATTCTTAAAAGCATTTTTGTTTATGTAGTTACCTTTTTTTTTTTTTTCTTTGACAGGACTACAAAGATCTATTAACTATCATTTAATGTAGTTTTTTTTTTTCTTCCAGAGTAGTTACTGTTGTAAAAAAAAAATATTAAGCTACACCCCGCCAAAAATTAAATCCTAAATCCGCTATTGGCTACTGTTTATGCGTTATAATTGAAAAGGAGAACATATTGTAATTGTTTAGCTTAAATCACAAACAAAAATAAAAATAGATAAATAAAAAAAAATATATTTTTCTCTTTCAAGGGAGTCTTCAACCCCATATCACCCCTTCCTCTTAATATTATGGTTGTGTAATAAAATAATAAAAATTGAATGGTACTATTTTTTTTGGTCCTCGCCTTTAAGGTTATACGGGGTTTTCCCGGGCCAGGGGGTGAGGGATTTAAAAGACTCCCCCGATACGGGGAAGCGAACTCGTGACTATTTTTTATATATCAGCTTGCCGGGCAACGGCGGTGGTGCTGTGCACATGCGTTAGTCCATTCGACCACCTCGCCCATCAACTTTAATGGTACGATATAACGTTAATGTTTTTAAATATTTAACTCGGACTAGTCTATAAGGTATATTTAGATTATATTTAATGGATGATTTTTCCCCCCGAATATTGCCGCTAAAAGGTTTCTATTTTATTAGTTTCAGAACGAGAGGAATCGATGAAGGATTGGGTGAAGATCAGCGAATCAGAGAGGACGATAAAGGTGGGGCGGGGGCAGCGACTGGTGGTCGACTGCGAGGCCATCGGCAGCCCGTCCCCCAGGATCCAATGGCTCAGGGACAACAGGCCGATCACTCAGGTCAGTATATATATATATAATCTACCTCGTTGGAATCAATTTAAAAAATCATAAATTAAGTCACTAAAAATATTTTTAATTGAGTTAAACTTCTCCTTACGTTTTTCTGAACTTCAGTTTATCGTTACCAAGCTATTGTATCAAAATTAAACAAACAAAAAATTACATATCACATACAGTCATACTGTGTGCCCAATGTTCTTATTTCACACATACCTAGTTGTTATCAGCTTCAACAGTCGTAGATTAATTCACTTTTGTTATAGATAATTATTTTATGGAGTTGAACTTCCAATTTCTACAGAAAAATTCATTTTAGTATTTAGTGATTTAATTTTGTGAAATTTTATTTAATGAATTTTTATAATACATCTACGATAACATTGTAATCAGTATAAATAAAAAAGAAAACTTTAAATCCAATCATTTTGAACGAGTACTTATTTGCTCGCTGAAGCCTTGGGCAAGTTCTTAAATTTAGCGATGAACCCCTGTTTACGCTATTTTCGAAGGACCTACTGGATCCCAGCAGAAAATTACAAAACACACGAAAAATAAAAAATATGTCAGATAATGTTAATATGATGAGTCATCGGTGATTCAATAACTGAATAAAGGAACGCGGTGAATTACATCTATGGTTTCAGACCAGTCACTCTTTTTCATAAACATATATCACTTAAATCATCTCTTACAATCTTAAATTAAAATAACTCTGTCATTATCAACGATGGATTTTCAAAAATATGCATTACAATTCAGCTTTAGTAAAAAATAAAATCTAAAACAATCATTTTGAACGAATCCTTATTTGCTGGTTGTAACAAACATGTTTTGGATTATGCTTACCTCAATATTATGACGAAATCGGAATTTTTTATTCATTGATAAGGTTTTTTTTACCCCATGTTTTGGTCAGTTATCTTCTTGGTATAACGATTTGCGTAAAAATCATTCATTTCTTGAGTTATCAATAACTCTTTCATAATAATCTTTTAAAAAAACCTAATCATTGTTTTCAATAAATGCATATACATTTTAAATGTTTACCGGGTCGTATATAATTCAATTAAAATTATTTGTTGGATTTTATAACCTTATCCCACTAAGGTGGAAGGGGGGAGGGAGTTAGCTTTCAATCCTTTTAAATGAAAATGTATGTACTTCAGCAACTAAATGTAACTACATCCCTAAAAGCATTATTGTTATTGTAGTTACTTACTTATTCTTAAAAAAACTTAAGTAAGTGTTCAAACTCCCTTTCCCCATTTGAATGCTGAATTTGCTACAGTTGAGAAATTTTGTCATTATGTGGAATTACCAGAAGGGCTCAGAGATAAATTAATTCCAGGAGGATTTGATTCTACAAAAGCATAACCCTAAAATATTTGTTAGAATTATATGTTGATAGCTATAGCTAAATAGTAATTAGTTTTTATAATTTTTTTTCTAAACAATCTACTGGATAATTCTATCATTTTGAATTTTTGTATGAAATGGCTTATAAGTCATGAGTTCAATGTTTATGGACATATTTTCTCTTTGATCAATTATCTCACTGAATTATAACTATCTCTCTAGTTGATGGAGGAAGACAACGTTGTTCGTGGATTCGGACTGGCCAAGATCGTAAGGACTTATGTTGCGGATTGTGCTTCACCAAGTCACGAGGGCGAGTATACTTGTACCGCCATCTCTGGTGGCGAGACAGCTATCAGCTCTTCAACACAGGTGATTGTTGATGGTGAGTAAATTGTGATTAATCACGATATGAATTTCACTGTTTATCCATTGAAGTAATACACAAGTTCTCTAACAATATTTTTAAATGCAGATGATATGAGGTCCGAATGCCAACCAGGAGCTCCCAAAATCAGTGTCTGGGCCCCGATTGTCATGCAGACGATGGGAAGTGATGTGAGGATCCCATGCAGGGTTCACGGCATAGCAAGGGTCTCTTGGGTGTCCAAGGATGGCCAGCTGGTTTCTAATGCTCCCGGTTCTCGGTTCAGGGTAAATATCATGTTAAAGATAACTTTTAATTGGAACTAAGCAGCATATTTGCAATCAAGAAGAGGCTGACTGTGTATTTTATCTTGTTTACAGGTTCTGGAGAGCGGAGATCTTGAAATCACTAAACTGAAGTGGGTCGACATGGGAAAATATTCTTGTTATGCAGAAAACCATATAGGAAAAGATACAGTTTCGACATTCCTCTATCCGATGCTGGTAAGTGACAAATTAAAATAGTCTGTGGTGGTTAATCTTATGATAAATAAACTAAAGAAGAAAATGATATGATTAAAACAAAATTACTGACTCTAAACAAACATTTCTAAGTTTCTCTAATTTTTTGTTTCAGAGTGAAAACTAATTACGGAACGGAAGGCAGATTTTAAATGGAAACAATGGAAAGTTCTTACCCTGTTTTGTTTTGTTCTAGTCATTACATTAGCTATTAATTATCTAATTTAATGTATTAAAAATTTAAAGTTAAGTAACTAGGTATTTTAAATTTGTATATATATAAATAAATTCAGTATTTATATATATATTCGATGACTGAGGTTCGAAAGTATAAAATCATTTACTTAAATGTGAACTGTAATTGTTTTTCCTGTAAATTTTAATATTATTTTGTAATTAGTGTATTGTTTTTTAAGTATTTTTATCGGCTACCTCAAGTGTAAAATTTGTTGTGTCTACTGAATGGTTAGTTTATATTTTTTTAGCTGTGCATTTTTATTTGGTAAAGTGAAATTGATTTATCGATATTATTAATTATGTACCTGTTATGGTTTAATGCATTTTTATTATTTTTGTATTAAGTAATGTAATATGTTCTTGAAAACTATTTGTTAAATAGAACATGTTTGGAAGTTATTTATTTGAATTTATTAAGAAAGAAACTTTTTTTTTTATGTTTTGAAAAATAAATCTGGAAGTGTTCTTGTTTCAACTACAAATGCCTATTTTTTAACTATCTATTTCCTATGACAAAATTAATACAAGTTTAAAATAAAAATAAAAATGATCTACTGCAGATGAAAAAGTATATTCAAAGCTTTAAAAAATGTCGACAAAAATTTCAAGATGAATTAAAATAAAATCATAATCAAACCTCAAGTAGTAATTAACAAGATAAATCTTAACTCAATTGGACTCAACTATTAAAGGTTTTAAACCTGGACCTTTCTAAATTAATTAAAATGTTCATTTTTCGTATTACTTCAACAATATAATGTACAATCAAACAATAGAATTGTCTTAGATGTCAAGAAGTAATATTCTTATATTTTAAAAAATCTTAGTTTTTGTTACATATCACCTAATTTTACATTTTTTTGCAAATCTCTTTTTGCACTCAGGTGAAATTCAAAAGATATTAACTACTTGATATTAAGGAGAAAAAATTTGATTGAATGCAATACTTCCGCCGAAATTAGTTGGGGAAGTAAAATAGGAACAGGGTTCTAATTAGAAAGAAAGAAACAGAAATATGTCAGCCCTTACAGAATATACATAAATTATAATTGACTTTTAAGTGCAAACAAAAATTAACTGAATACTCATAAACCATTCATTAAAGAATGCCAGTAACATTTAATAAACAAAACCATTGAATTATAATCTAAGAGTAAACAAACCCAGCTGAATTGAGAGTTTGTGTTTAATAAACATGAAGTAAATGATAAAAGGAAGTTTCTATTAAGGTTAAAGAAAACAAAATTATTTAACATAATTAACATTTATATAAATCAAGTTTATTTTAAAAGATCATATAGAAGAAATCAGATATATTTAACTTAAACTTTTTCTAAAAATTTCACATACAATAAAATTTATGAAATAAATTCATATACTTTTCTATAATTATAAAATAACTAAATCATATATTCAGTCAGGGTTAAAAGTATTCATACAATCTGTTTTAAGAAAAATTAAAAAAAAAATTATATGTGGAAAATAATTTAAAAAAAACAGAATAATTTAATGTAAACATCAAAATATTTTCCAAGTAGACAAAGTACAGAAGGACCAGGAGAGAGAGGTACCTCACCATTTTTATTGAGGGTGAGGAGAAACAAATTCACTATTTTAATTATATATTGTGACATTTCAGAAAAAAAAAAAAAATTAAAATACAAATTTAATTTAATTATAATTAAAACATAAATCCTTATTGGAGATGTGTCAAATTTTATTAGGTCATCGAATAGAAGTATCCTTGCAGAGTTAAGTCCCAATATGACATCTGATATTGACCATGTAATGCTCACAGAATATATTGCTACAAATATTTTTATGGAAAATGAGCCGAAGTTTCCGATGGCACATTCTCTACTTTTCATATGGTATATATAGAACTATACTAAAGATATACAGTTGACAGATGTTTTAACTGTCAGGTGGCATATCTAATCCACTTAAGTTTGGATTACTATTATAATAGGGTGTATGGGGGAGGGGTTCTCCAGGAAGCTGTTGAGTCAAATCCGTCCACAAGTATTCGCGAACTTGCGAGGGAGTGTGGTGTTTCAAAAGATACTGTTAGTCCCCATCTACTCTCCTAGGGAAAGGTGAAAAAGAGCAGTCAGTAGACTGGTCCCTCACTAACTTATTCCTCAGCAATCAGCCAAGAGGTAATAAATTCGTGAACATTTATTGAAAAACCCTTCTGATATGAGATTTTACTGGAAGATTGTCACTTGTGACGAAAAGTGGGTTTACTGGTGAAATCCGAATACCTCTGAGCAATGGCTATATTGCGGTCAAACTGCTTTTCCGGTTGTTGCAAGGGGGCAAAAATGCTTTACATTTTTTTTTTTAATTTTGAAGGTGTCATTTATTCATCATGAATTTGTTCCTGACGAATGCTCTATGAATTCTGAACTCTACTGCGAACAACTGGAAAGATTGTATGCGAAGTTGTCAGAGCTTTATCCTTCTTTGATCAACCGAAAAAGGAATTTTATTCCAACAAGATAATGCTCTTCCTCACACTTCCCGTCGAACCAAAGAAAAGTTTCAAGAACTTCATGGGCTCGAACTCCTACCTCATCCACCATATAGTCCAGACCTTGCGCCATCGGATCACTACTTAATTAGATATATGGCCCATTTTCTTCAAGGAAAAAAATGTGATAATTTTGCAGCAGTTGAAATTGCAGTCCAAGAGTTCTTTGACAGCCATCCCAAAGAATAGTATCAGTGTGGGATCGAGCATTGGCTAGCAGATGGCTAATGACAGCAGATAATAATGGACTATACTTTGTATATAATTGTATTTTATATCAAAGAAACAGTAGTACAGCAAATATTTGGTTGAAAAACGGTCATTTTTTTTTTTAAGCCCTATTAAAATATGCATATGAAGCAACGTAACATGGACACCTATATTTTGTAGCCTTGGTTTGAAAAGGTTCTAACTGCATTGAGTATAATTTTGAGAAACAGAGCTTCAGTTACAATTTAATGTCATATGAATATTCTGTTCATTCATCGCTGGTCTCTACAGTCCTTGAAGAACTCTGCTAACGTCTTCTTCCACATATCCCTATCACCAGCACAAGCGCTTCCACCGCTTGAATATTGTTAGTTAAAAAAACAATTTTATCTGTACAATATCTTGGAGTAGTATTGTACAGGACATTTTCGATGATGACTTGTGGTTGTACCACTTATCAATGATTCTTTTATTTTTCAACTGATTGAACTAAAATTCATTTGAATGAATGAATGAAAATATAAAGATTAAATAATTTTATTATTCTGGGACTAGTGTCTCTTTAGAACAAATTCTACATACAGAATATAAATTAACATGTTGGTGTGTCCATAAAATTAAATTAAATATTTACAAAAGTATTAGTAATAAAGTAAAAGTACAGATAATAAAAATATACATAATAAATAAAATATAAAACAGTATTTTTAAAATTAATCCATATTCTGTTCAATTGGTTAACAATAACATGATATTTCAACTAAATATAATAGACAATTTGATACATATCCAATATAATAAAAGAAATTTAATAGCTATATTGTACAATATTTGGTTATAATATACAAACAGTTTACAGACATATCAGAGGCCTTATATATTATCAAACCATTTATATACCTCTTGCAACAACCTATGAAGGGTCTTTGGTTCATCCCTTGGTACCGGAGTGGTTTTTCTTGAACAACAGTTATACAAGGAGATGATTTGACCAGAGTCACACTCAATTGCCAGGTTTTGCTCCTAATCGATTAAGGGAGTCTACTTTATAGCAGCAAGGTGTACCATGGCGACAGGATTCATGTATCCAAACGTGAAATGTTAAGCCTGATATAAAGCAGGGTTACAATCTACTATATTTGTATCCTTATAGTTTATAATAGAAGGGTGTAAATTTGTTTCAGATCCACAATAAAAACTAATAGGATAATTTTATATAATATTCAGGATATTGAGAATAATTTTACGTAATATTCAGGACTTCATAACACATTTTATATCAGATATCAATTAGAGTAAGAATGAATCAATGGTTTTATAGAGACACCAAACCACAGAAACATATTTTGATTGATATAGGTGTCATTGATATAACACAGGTGAGATTTTTGTAGTAAATTAAAAATTAAAATTTGTTTAATAAATACCAATATGGACAAAAATAATGAGCAGCTTCTTATTGTTTCCATCCTATGTAAAGATTTCATATTTGTAATCTGTCAAGATGAAATCATAGGTAGTGGATCTGTTCCATAATAATAGGTGGAATATTATTAAATGAGACCAAAGTAGAGTTTAAATCTTCAGCTTATAAACCATTCTTCAAGGGCTGAGTTAGGAGACTTTGAGATATAATCATAATTATTCATTTGTTGACATGAGTTACAGGCATATATAAATATATACATATTATATATTGAGATAGGCAATTTAGCAAAACTCATAAAACTTCAAAGATGTGACAGAAAAACAGTTCAACTATAAATGATAATATCAAAATACCTTATACTTCTCCGCTTCTTAATCCTATTATCTCCTACCATTGGTCAGTTTGAGATACCTGCTTTTAGAGCCCGATCCAAATATCCCACTCCTGTACCAGCTTATTTTCTCTTTTTGCAGTAAATTCCTCTGCAGTAAAATCCATCCCTTGATATCTAGCCATTTCCCATATGAAAGCATTGACCAGTTTACATAACTATCACCTGTTCAAACAGAATATCTCTCTCAAAACCATCCAGTGGATTATTAGGAACATTGCTTGCTGTTTGAACTAAGAAAAAGTCTAGAATAGTAAGACCTATATCGCGTCAGACCAAACGTATATTGTATATGCAAACAATGAATATGTCCTCATGTCTTCCATTATTCGTTTTATCATGAAAATCTATAAATGTATGTTTTAAAATGAACATATAAAAGAACAATGAAGAATTTCCTGATCAGAAATTAGACAGATGGTTAAGAACTCCTCGTGTGTTCTGGACTTGCCGACACCTGGGCTGCAGCTTTCATTCTGGTCAAGAGGCTCTCATTGACTTCACATTCCTCTCGGAACTGTTTGAGCAACGATGCGTACTGTCGCTGTTGTTCAATCATGCCAAACAGCTGGCTCCTCAGCCTATCTTTAGCATCCCTCTCCTCGTTCCTCTTACTTTCAACCTACAAAATAAAGTTTGTAATCATCAAAATAGAAGTGAGTAATATTAATGAAGAAATCATATAACAGCAAATATAATATGTAAAATTTACTAATGAAAATTTAATAATCTATAATACAAAAAGGTTAAATTAATTTTTACCTTAGCTTTGTTTTGTTTTATTCCATCCACTAATGTTTCAAATTTATTTATGAACTCTTCTTTGGCGTTTTGAGAACTATTTACAGTTCTGTAATAAAAATGTATTTTGAATAACGAAAAATGAGTAAACATTGTATTAAATTTATAAAAAAAACTTAACTTTATAAAAAAAAAAGTTTACTTACGCATTATAGCCTTCCAATATCGAATCTAAAAGCTTTATCTCTTTATTGAGGTATTCGTGTTGATCGCTCATGGAATTGTATAGAGTATAATATTGTTTAGTTTCTTTGTATTTGGCCGATACTGAAATCATAAAGAATTACATATTATATCAAAGTTTCAGGTTTGTCAAAGGCAAACAGAAAAAAAAATCCCGGAATTTTCCAGGTTATATCACAATATTATTGTGAATTTTCAGGTAAAATAATAATTATTATTAAAATAACAATTATTATTAATTAAACAGAGTTATTAATAACTACCTTGATTGTAAAGCTCTATGAACCTCCTTTGATACTGGTTCAGCTCGGGCCTAGAGGGGACCTGATCAATTAGACGGTGGAGTTTGGCTTCAGTTCGTGACACTTTAGCCAAAGAGATCCTTGCATCAGCTAACTGGGTTTCCAAAGAAGACAACTGATCGTCGATAGAGTTATGGTTCATTGATTCGTAATCATCAACTTCTCTAGAAATAAATAGCTGATCAAGAGATATAGAAATGAACTGATTTATATCACTAGTTTTATAGAGAGAATAAATCAGAACTATACCAAATCTGAAATATAACAAAACCTAAAGGGCTTATGAGCAGTATAATAAATTTATATTATAGTATTTATTTTTTATCTTGGATGCAAGAACCAGAAATAGTGTGCAATTAATTTTTAGGGTCCTATTTACTATTAAGCTTAATATTTAAGAGAGATTATTTATTTTCAAATTATCAATATTGCGGGAAATATATTGCTTCCCGACCATTTAAATATCCCAACTGATAAATAAGTTTGTCATTTATATACAACTTCTTACCTCATTTATATACAACTTCTTACCCTCCAAAATATTCATTGAAACAATTTACATATTTAGTATACAATAATACAATTTGTTACATGTATATATTGTATTATTGTATACTATATATGTAAATTGTTTCAATAAATATTTTGGAGGGTAAGAAAAAAAAAAAAAAAACAACTTAAAACTGTTTATGTATATATAACATTTATATATTGTATTTTGTAATAAATAAATTCCTGTGGGGTAGGAAAAAACTTAAAACTGAGTCCATACTCAACTGTAAATATTTATTATATGTACTGTATATATTGTAAATAAAATAAATCTGCAAAGCGGTCCCTCCCCGCTCAAAGTTAAAATCAAGATCACTGGCCAAAGTGTAACAAGTGCCTTCAGCACACTCATCCTGTCCTACCTTAAAATACCCCAGGGTAAGAAAAGGTATAAGCCAATCCCTATCGCATATATACAGTTGATTAAAATTTCTTAGAGAGGGTAAGAAAAAAAACTTAAAAGACTCTTGGTAAAATTTACAACATACCTATTCAGAAAAATCATAGTGGAGATATTATATTGATAGGACCTTATGAGAAATAAAAATTAATTACTACCTTATAGTTGTTTCCAGGCGTAACTTTTCTCCTTTGCAATACTCTTTAAATTCTTTTTCTTGTTCGTTTAAGTTTTCCAATAGCATTAGGCGTGTTTTTATATCTTCAACGGTCCTGTAATAAATAAATTTTAAAATATTGAGAAAACAAAAATTATAAATAAACAAAAATTAAGGCAAATATAATTTACTTTTGTTCCTCTTTTGAAAGTTGAGACTCAAATTCTTCGATAGAACTTGTTCGAGTTTTTATTTTTTTCAATTTTTCATTCGCTTCCTTCACTTTAATATCAATTTCATTCTTTTTGGCAATCAACGCTTCTTCTTTTTCCTTGAGACGGACGATTTCGGCTTTTTCACTCACCTATAATTTTTATATTCTTATTTTGTAGACAAACATGTGCATATACAAGACAGGATGAATGATGAACATAATTTACCTCAGAGTCAGCTGAAAGGGTGATGTAGTTTTTAGTCGCGTCTATAAGCTCCTCTGATTTGAGATTTATTATTTCCTTGATTGCCTTTGGAGCTAATTTAACCTGGAAATTTCACAGAGGTTCATCAGCAATGAGCAGTTATTAAATTTATAATAAAAATTAAATAAAAAAATTGTTCACTAGATTGACACTTTTTTTAAGAGGAAAAAAATCTGATTACTTATTAGCTCTTCAGTAGCAATAAAAGAATAAAAACTTAAGAAAATAAAATTAACCTGTTACTGGTTGTCCTAAGCATTACATAAGGTGGGTATGAAGAATGTGCAAGATTTTAAATGAGTATAAAAATTACTAACATATTAAGTACATTAAATTATTATATCACTACTGTAAGTACAAAAGAACATATGTAAAAAAAAAAATGACTTTTTTACAAAAGAGCATAAATACTGATTATTTCTTTGTGTTTTAATAGAAAATAATCTTTATTCTGGAACTACATCCCTTAAGAATAACAGTATTGTTCATATCAATTAACAATAAATCTGGCCAAAAGACCTATTACAATAAAGAAAACTAAAATACTAGTAATAAATTAAGTATAATAGCTCTTAGGATATATTGTTGGGTAATAGGGTTTCAATACTCCAATATTAGACCTAAAAGAATAGCATAATAATCAGTAAATGAAATTAGAAAGGAACATAAAATCAATTTTATAGGCAAAGCATTGTAGTGATGGAATATTAAAAAAATAATGACTGTTGATATATAAAGAAATAAATTGTAAAAAAAAAAAAAAAAAAAAAAATGATTTAAATATGTTCCCTAAGAAGTTTAAGTGAATACACGTAAAGATCAGGAGAAGAAAAAATAAAATAAAGTATATATATATATATATATATATATATATATATATTTTTTTTTTTTTTTTTAATTAAATAATTAATTAAGGGAGAAAACTTGACTGTTGAGCGTAATCCTGGCCAGATCTCCTCTTTGCGCAAATGTTTGCCTTGAAAGAGTACTTTCCCTAAATAATACTCAACTCTTCATGGGTTAAAATACAGGTTTAATGTTTTTTAAACTGTATTTTATTTGTTATTACCGTCTGTATGTTAATTATAATTCATTTCTCATCAGATGCATACATTTTATTTATAACTCCCGACCACCTTTCTGATTCAAGAGAGAAGCTAATTTATTTTTCAATAACCTTTAAAGGACTTGATACTTGTAAATATAAATAACAACATAATAGTTGCAATATGGATAGTACTCAAATGTCCTGAACAAGCAAAGGATTTAATAAATGAAATATAAAAAAATTTTTCAATAATTTTCACTTTTTTAAGTTTTTTAATTAAAATAAATTGTAAGCTGAAATAATAAATCATAATTGCTTTGATAGCATTAAAATGTACTAATCTAAAACAATTAATTAATTATTGAAGATAATTATTAAAAACAGTGACAAAAATAATCAATCGAAAAATTCATGCACAAAAAAGAAAAAGAAAAACTACTCACTTCCTCACTTGTAGATTTCATCGTTTTGACCATTTGTTTAAGTTTTACCTGTCAAGAGCAGCAATGGAATGAAAAAAAAAAAAAAAAACTACAAAATGGCATGCAAAGCATTATTTTATAAAATCAGTAAAAAAAAAATTATAAATAAAAAAAAAATCACTTAATAAAATTAGCTCAACAATAACAAAATCAGTAAGTTAAATTTTTAAAAATAAATCCATAAAATGAATGGACTAAAAATTTAGATATTAAATAAGAAATAAGTAAAAATCAATAAGCTTTTATTGATCAGCATTTGTACATAATTTAAAATAACAATAAAAAACTTTTATTATTGGGAAAATAAATAAACAGCAATTTCTCCTAATTTATGAGGTATTGGTGCAATGCCCAATTCTTCATATCGTACCAGGGAAATGGACAAATAGTAAACTCTAATAATGAATTGCTAAATTGTCTCAAGATACATTAACTAAGTTAACCTTTCAGCAACATTGTTGGACATTTTAATTATGGTTATTTCTAATAATAACGCAGATTTGTATCAGTTTGATTATAATAATAAAAATCAATTTTGGTGAGATGAATGTTTATCAATAGCCATTAAAATAGCAGTACATTTATATCATTTAAGCAGATTTACAGGTCAATCATACTTCTATTGACATATCAGAGTTTAGATTGGAGTAGGTTGGTGGGTAAGGCACTGACTTCCAAAGCTCAGTGCCTCGTTTTCGAATTCGGCTGATGACAAGTAATTATTTATTCTGCTCATCAGCCATGGATCAATCCTGGGTTCAGAACATCCTACTGCACCACACAAAGCCTCAATGAGCGTGATTCTGGCCCATTCACCTCTCTGCACTACTGTTGGACTTAAAAGAGGACTTCCTTACAAAGTACTGAATCTAAATCCCTTCATGGGTTATAGCAGTACAGGTTTTTTTTTTTTTTTTTTTTTAAGCACAGTTTAGTTGTCTATAAAATATTTCCTAATTTAACCTCTAAACCTGGGTTTTTACACATTGCCAAATTATCAAGAACAAAATACCCAAGAAACAGAGATTTCACATGTTTCTATATTCTCAGAGAAATAAACAAGATGGAGGATAGAAAAGGCATTTGCTCTAACAAATTGTAATTTTAAAAATGAACAAAGGAAACTAGAGAAAATGCAAGAAGGCATACAAGTTGTCAAAGCAGATGGTGGACGAAGAAAATTCATTTGAATCGTATAAGATACCATTAAAATCAACATTTCTTAAGTAACTCAAACAGTAAACAAATATGTCAATACGATACTAGCATTAACAAACCTCCTTTGATTTTTCTAATAAAATCAACAGCAGATATATCGATCACAAACACTAGCCTAAAGTAATACTCTATTTACATGCTCGTGTTTACCTTGGTTTACAAAATTTTTAAATAAGGCTTAAGAAATCTTTAATTCAGAAATATAGCTAAAGCTACTTTAATACAAATTAAAAAATAAATTTAATGATTTTTTTTTTAAATAAAACTCCATGCTTAAAACAAAATAATTAATTTATAATAAATACTAGCAGCACAGATTTACAGAGTACTTCAAAATTCAAAGAAGCAAGTGAAGCAAAACTGTAGAAATATATTTCATTGTTAATACACACACAAAACATGACTTACTTCATCTATAGCTTCTACATGCTTTATGTCGCCATTCTCTTCCTCTTCTTTCTATAACCAGACAATTAGTCAATAATTGTGCTAAGATTTGTACATAAAGTTAATAATGGATAAAATATTGCACCTCCTGGATCGGAGCATGGCCGTATTCAAACAGAGTGCTTTGTATCCTTGACAATAGATCAGAAGGAGCACCACTTCCTTCAATCCTTCTGAATTTCCTCTGAATACTATATTTATTCTGCAATGGTACAATAAAATGATTAATTTATTTATTATAAGAGGTTAATTGCTTTGTAAAAATGGAAGTATCTATATAGATATATATACACTTTATGGCATTAGAATGATTTTTTTAGATTGTTTGTCATTAATTTACTTAAAAAATTTAAAGCCATTTAATTTTCAAAAGCTCCGAATGACAATCGAAATATTGATAGGAAAACTAAAATTAGGTTTATATATTTAAAGAGTTTTTGATAAAAGAAAATTTTACTTTATTTAAAAAAAAAGTTATATTTTAAATAGGATGAATATGGGAGGGAGAGCTTTGATTTGGGTGAACTTCATAAAGAAAAACTAAATAAAAACTATACATAGGGTAAAGATACTTATGTTTGCCCACATTTATTATCATGACTGAGGCGAGCATTTTAAAAATAATATCAATGTATAAAGAGGCTGATCTAAATAAATTTAAGAAATACAATCAAGCTCTAAATATATATATATATATATATATATATATATATATATATATATATATATATATATATATATATATATATATACAAATATTTAATGACAGCTCGATACTTGATTTTGTCCATTTTCACAAAAACTCTCATCAGCTCACTCAAACGACAGTTACATAAAAACTGGTGGGTAACTGTCAACAGTTACACCAATGTTTCAGCCATTTTGGACATGCAGTTTTTATAAAACAGTCGTTTGAGTGAGTAGATGAGAGTTTTTGTGAAAATGGACAAAATCAAGTATCGAATTGTCATTAAATATTTGTTTTTGTAAGGCAATACAACTACACAAATCAAAAATAAGTTGGATTCTGTGTATGGGGACTCTGCAACATCATTTACCACAGTGAAATTTTGGGCAGCTGAATTTAAACATTGCCGTAAGAGCTTGGGAGATTATGAACGTCCAAAAACTGCAACTACCAATGAAACATCGCCACCAAATCACCTAATGGTGCTAGACGACTGTCGAATTAAAGTGAGAGAGGGAGATAGCAGAGGTCATGAGCATGTCAAAAGAACGTTTTTGTTACATATTAAATCAACATTTAGATATGAGAAATCTGTCTGCACGTTGGGTGCCGAGTTTTCTTACGTAACACCAAAAATGTTGTAATGTACACCTTTATTGGAAGTGAGTAAAAAGGATTCAAGAAATTAATGTTGAACAATTAAAAGGCAAGAAGGAAAATCCCAAAGAGGAGAGGGACAAAGGTTTTTGTTTTGGCAAGCAGTTGTGTGACTGCAGTGAAGAGAGGATGGGAGAAGTGATCCTGGCTCCAGTGGGTAAAACCCAGTAATAGTGTTACCAATTTGGAAGAGTTGTTTGGCAGAACTTTGGAAAGTGTTTGAAGGCAAATGAGTTCAGAGTCACAAAGGAAGAAACATATAATACAGAAAAAGGTTAGCTTGCCATTCCATATTTGACTTTATTTTAAAATCAATCAGTGTTTAATTTTAGTATAAATAGTGTAAATAATAATAGTTTGAGTTGATCTGATTGTAAGTAACCCACACCTGAGATAAATAAATATATTAATCCTCTTATAATTTTGTTATATTAATATATTGTTATCTTATAATTTTGTTATATTAATATATATGTTATATTCTCTTATAATTTTGTTATATAAATATATTAATTCTCTTATAATTTTGTCTTTTAATTGTTCAACATTAATTTCTTGAATCCTTTTTACTCACTTCCAATAAAGGTGTACATTACAACATTTTTGGTGTTACGTAAGAAAACTCGGGACCCAACGTGCAGACAGATTTCTCATATCTAAATGATGATGTAATTGAGCATTATTAAACAATCTCTTATTTATTTAGGAAGTATCCCAATGGTAAGAAATGAGCTTTCAAGGTTATATTATTATTTTTTGTAAAATATAAGAGGGATGTTACAATGTGTTCAAATGAACATTTCCAACGCTCTGTTGACGCAGTTTAGGCACAATAAATTACTTTTAGTTTTTATTTTAGCACCGAGTTTTAGCACTGATTAATTACTGTAGATGAAACTTGGATACACCATTATAAGCTCGAAACAAAAATACAGTCCAAACAGTGGACTGAAAAGGGGGGAACTGGCTCCAAAAAAAGCAAAAACTGTTTTCTTGGCTAGGAAAGTGATGGTGACTGTGTTTTGGGATAGTCATGGAGTTATTTTAATCTACTTTATTCAAAAAGGAAAAACAATTACAGGAGCATACTACACACCATTACTTAACAAGCTGAAGGCAGAACTTGTGGAAAAATGGCCACATTTGCAGAAAAAGAAAATCCTTTGTTGTTTCACCAAGACAACTGTCTTGTCTAACTCTTCAGCAGTTACCATGGTGAAAATCCATGAATTACGGTTTGAACTGCTTGACCATCTGCCTTACTCACTAGATCTAGCCCCAAGCAACTTCTTTTTGTTCCCTTATCTAAAAATTGCAGATTTGTAGAAAAAAAAAAAGAAGATCTGTAGGTATTATTACCTGAACAGCTGAAACATGTGGGAGAGCACGCCTGATAAAATTTTCATTAGGTTTTTCACCAGGGAAACAAAATTCGTTGTTGAACCTGTGTATAGCATATTGCTGAAGGTAATCCCCTCTTTCTTCTCGGTTTTCCATTGACTTTTTTACAAGCCACTGTAAAGTTGAAAAAACAAATTAATATTATTAAAAACTAATTTCTTTATTTTAACAGTAAATACTCATTGATTGTAATAAGGTTAAATATAAATTAAAGCTCACTTTAGAAAATAGCCTTTTAGTTCAAGAAAATGAATCTGTATCAGCAGAATTCATAATTATAATCAAAGAAGGAAATATGAACTATTAAATCATGATAAAACAGTTTTTTATTACATTAAAATAACATAAACAAAACAAATAATTTACCTCAATCACTGGATAAATATGAATGAAGTCTAATCCTTGTATCTGATGAGGCTCTATCATGAAGGGACAGTTCATCTTCTGCAACGCAGCTACTATTTTCTCAGTCAGGGCTCTGCAAATTGAAAATAATAATAAATAGTATTTTTAAATCACACTAAATAATTTAGAATGAATTAAAATAATGACAATCATAATATCAATTGACTTGTTCTTAATTTCATTAAATTCTAATATTTATTTTAAATTTTTGGAAAAAGTAAATATTCTAACTTACTGTTTAAAGTTAATTTTTGGAAAAAGTAAATATTCTAACTTACTGTTTAAAGTTATAAAAGCACTATGCCTTCAGGTGTAAAAATAACTTATCTATAATAACCTATATATATATATATATATATATATATATATATATATATATATATATATATAAAAATGAATGTATGTCCGTTTGTCCTTTAAACATTTAGTAATGAATGGTTTAGTAACCATTCATCTGATCGCTATGAAACTTTGGAAAGTTGTTGCGTACACTCTTGAGAAGGTTTCTGGCATAGTACATCCGTCCTACGATAATTATATACTAGCTGACCCGTGCGAATACTCCGCGCACACCTAATAATTATATCTGATTTTGATATATTAAGAGAACAACTTTCATTCAATAATGTTTGATACGCAAAGGTTTATTACATATATTTTGTAAGTTGTCTATTTTAGAATAAGATTTATATTCTGCCATGGTTATAATGTAAATATTAGCTTTTTCCTTCATTAGATTATCATAAATTAACAAAAGCTTCTAAACATTGCTTTTAACATCTGATTAAAAAGCCTCAAATTCTCAGGGAGTTATAAAGTTAGTTCAATCTGGATGTATGTTACTTTATCATTAAAAAAAAAAATCAAAAATGTATTTTTAAAATGATAAACTACAATAATAAAGATCTAATAGTAAATGCTATTGTAATCAAACCACAATGAAAAAAATTACTTTCAATGTTTAAAGGAAGACTTGTAATGTTTTTTAGTTAAAAGCTTTAACTCTGCACCAAATGGTCCAATTTCAATTTTTTTCTTTTTTTGTAGGGAATTTAGTAAGCTTTCAAATGTATAATGGACCAAAAATTGCGACCTTTTCGAATTATTCTTAAATTATGAATTCATTTGGAACATCTCGATTTTTTTTAGACTGCACCATCAACTGGTTTGAAACCTTCCACTTTTACATTCACCTTTATTAAATCCAGATATAAAATTAGAAATCAAAATTATGATTCGCACACTCTATGTGATATTCCCTTTCTATTGATACCTCATTCGTCACAATCCATCACTCCTGAGAGCCGGAAAAGGGATATACACAACCTTAACACTTTTTGACCAATCCGCTCAATGATATAGACATTGGAATCTAACTCGGTCGAAAAGTGAGGAGTACCTGTACAATATATGATATATAATAATAAATAATAATGGAAAGATCTGAGGCAATGTAATCGTATACAAGTACATAACTACAATTACCATTAATATGACCAACTATAAATGGAAAACAAAATCTCATAATAAATACAAATTGTACTAAAATTAATAATCATCATGAATACTGATTACTATTTGAGGTGTTAGGATAATTACATCTTCTGACCAATAGTAGAGTTTTCTTGAAATAATAAATCAACATCAAGATCAATATTGCAGACATCTATACACCAAGTCATTCCACCAACGACCTTGTCAAACTCAGAAATGCCTTTGATTTTTGCTCTATAATAGCCTGCTCCAATTAGGCATTCAATAATTTCTCCATACTTTATTTTCTGTTGCTCATCTTCTCTTTTTTCAGCCTAAAAGCGTAATTAATTATTATTAATGATTGATGGTTTGTAAATAAATGGTTATTCATTCCAATAAATCAACAAAAACAACTGTTTTAAATTACTACAAAGCAACTCATGACCCATTACGTTTTGTATTATAAACTTATATATTAAACAATAAAGATTATAATGTAATTGAAAATCAGTGTATTGCACAGGAATAAATTAATATCATTTAATTAAACAGGTTTAGAAGATTCAATAAACACCCGAAGACCAAATCTAATGTCCGTAAAAATATTAATCGGTAAATTTGGTTTCTTGAAATGAAAATTGGATATACAAAGGTTTTAATAATAACAGAAGTTAAGACCCCAACACAACGTATTCCCTTCTTCAAGAAATTCCTTTTGGGCTCCAATCCTATTTCGTAAAGAATTGGTTTGAAGAGAAACAGCCATTTATAGAGTGACTGGTGATTCCAAAAAATAAAAAAAAAGATAGTTGCCAATTGAATCAAATCATTGAGTTTCTTCTAGGTGTTCGGCACGAAGTTAGAAGGTTCTAGGAGGTAAGAGTAACAAGTTTGTCCAGTTCAGTGAAAATATTCAGTTCATTATTATTATAGAGCGAATAGTTTCTTTTGATTAAATCATTGAAAAAATTGTTGCCTCTCTGAAGGCCATAAACTCATGTGTCAAATACAACCATATTTTGAATTAATATAAAAAAAACTGTTCCACTGAAGAATTTTGTATTAAAATTTAAAGTGCATACAACTGTATGATATGCAGTACTTCCCAAGACAATTAAAACTGACTGCTTACAAGATATTAACAAGTGTGTTTTAAAATAACGAATCTTGGTGGGTAATACATAGGACAAATTCCTAAACTTTAGGCTGTTTAGGAACTTGCCCATGCCTATAAAAAATTACTACCGGAATGGCTTTAACCAGCTACCTTAACTGAAATAATCTATAATGAAGAAAAATAAGTTAAACATTTTTTGAAAAGGTTAAAATGATTTGAAACAAAGAAAGGGACTGAAAAATAAAATATTTTAGGTATAAATTCTTGAATATTGACTGCTAAATATTCAAATCCAGAATATCATTTTGAATGAATACCGAAATATTTTCTGATGGGACATTTTAATTTGGAATAAAATACCTCGACTTCAACTCCTTCAGAATTAATTATTCTCGAAAGATGTTTAGAGCCTTTTGGCTTAAGTGCTTCAGACAGTGACATTTTACAACAAATAGCAATCTAATGACAAGTTAAAAACAGTTAACAACAAGGTGGAAGGTTATAACCCATGTTGATATCCTTCGCTTCTATCTGTGGACCGGTTCGTTATCAATGTTGAAGTGGTAGCGCACTATCATTTGACAATTAGCCGCATTGATAGTTGACAGTATCTGTCGTGGGAGTTAATTCAATTTAATAACTTCTTATAAATGTCTCTATGTATTAATAAATTATTCGTAATTTTTATTAAATAATTTCCTATTGCAATAGTAATTGAATTAAGTTTCTAGATACTTTCTTTTATTAGGTGCTGTTCGTAAATCTTTTTTTTTTTTTATTGTACAAGTCAATTTTTCCATCGGCCATTTTTTAACCATTTCCTTGGTTAGATATATAATTGAATTTTCAGAAGAATGCCAGAAAATCTTTAATTATGAAGAAAGATTGACTATAAATTAAAAAAACGGATGAAGAGAGAAGCAGATTGAAAATACTTCATCAAATCAACAAAAGAGTTGAGCCAAAAAAAAATCGAATTATACGAGAAATCCTTAGTCGGAAAAGAAATTGAATACAAAAAATGTAATCAAAAGTTAACAGAGAATTGTTGACATTATTTGACTAATCGAATAGAGAGCTAATACCCAATAATAGTTATAGAGAATAAACATCCAAATTAAAAAGTTTTTTTTATGACCAAATGTTTAATCTGTGTCACATACTCGAAGAAAGAGATACAGCCTAAAATGTGGTTTTTATACTATAGGATTGTACTTTTAACCGATTCGGTCTTGCAAAAGGGATGCATTTCTTTAAACCTAAAAAATGTTGAATGAAAATAGTCCAAATAATTGATAACTAATGAATAATATGTTAATAGAATCATATCGATAACTTGTAAGAAGACCGCCACAAGTCAAAGCAACTCAATACAGAGCAGGGACACCTTGAGGTGCCTCTATATTAAAAAATACTTAATAATATTTAATCATCTCCTTGCACAACCGTTGACTAGGAACCAGTACTTTCCCTAAATAGTACTAAACCTAATTTTTTATATTTAATGGTTAAATTGTCAATTTGGTGAATAGACATTCTAAAAATTCACTCTTTTATATTTATTAATAACAGAATTAAAATACAAATCAAGTAGATGACAAATGATCAGGAATTGCAAACTTTATATGGTTTATTAATTTTACTGACGTTCAGACCCAAGCATATGAAATGTCATCAGGTCTAATTTTAAGGTACGTTCAGACATTTCACATACTATGGATAACACAATTATGTAACGTATTAAAGAATATTGCCGTGTTCACATAATCTTAAGAATAAATATTTTTATTAGTTATTAAACAGGCTTTGAACATTATTACAACAATATTGGCGGTATATTTCCTTTGAAATCCTTGACGTTATTTGGTTTTTCCATGAGGAAAATACCATCTATCTCTACGGGAGATCGATCGGGAAAACAGGTATAGGAATCTGGTGAGGTCAAGAATTTCCGAAACTACTTATTTTTGCAAATTTAACATCTATTATGAATTTGTGTAAAAATAAATATATAATCTCATCATAATTTTATGGCAATATTATTGTGTTCATTATCACTCCTGTGATTATAAGTTTTTTGCATTTTAAAGGCTTGTGTTTTGATTCAAATATTTGTATTTAGACCAGAAAATTTGCCGTAATACCAATATTTAATTTTTAATTAAAAATACTGATAGATACTTTTACGTGAATATAACAATATTCTTTACGACACCTGTGAAAACAACTATATTCGTATTTACAGGAGTGAATGCGAAAGTAAATATATATATTTAGACTTGTAAATTTGAAAGAAATATAAATATTTTTTAAACAAAGAAGAATATTTAACATAATGTTATGCTAATATAACGATATTCTATATCACATACTTAAATACAATTGTGGGGGAATGAGGAGACAAATATACCCAACTCTAATGTATTAAGTAGCGTTTAGACATTTCACAAACTATGAGGAACACAATTATCTAACTTAGCTAACAGCGTCATTATTGCTACACCAAACTATTTATTTTATTTCTCTTGATATCGACAGCAGATGGAAAATATCAAAAACAAAAATACTAGCATAGTGAAATAATTATTGTGAAAAATGTTTAAACCCGGCTTAAGAGTGGGTTTAATTCGATCGAGTCTCTCAGTATGCCATTTATGTCGGGCAGACCAAAAGAAAACTAACAAGAAGTATTAAAGAATATTTCCTTGATCATCTCATCTCATTTCAAGAACCATTTCGGAAATTTTTCCTTTCCATATGAACACGTTACGGTAAAACTCATACACGCTGCATTTAAAGGGAAAATAATAGATTTTCTTGAAAAACATAAATAAAAAACCCCTGAAAAATAACATATTATACTCGTATGCCAGTAATTCTCCATTTTAAGGATTCTGCGTTCATTAAATTAGTAGTGGTTAACAGAAACAAGACGTAAGGGGGTGGGGAAAGCACATCCAGACAATAGTTTTATTTTTACCCCTCATCCGAAAAGCAGAAGAGGAGGACCGTAATAAATTACGTGATAATTAGTGTTTATTTAATATATTTAATTTTTAAGTTTTCATTAATTTTAAAGATTGTTTTTTATTATATTATTGTTGTTAATTTTTATATTTTGTTTAGCCAGATGAAGGATCTGTAATCCAGTTGGTGGAAAAAAAAATCGCAAATAATCCATGATTGTAAAAAAACAGAACTTACCTTAATTTTACTTGTTAAAAATTTCTTTTAGATTAATAAAGGCAACAGTCTACTTACGATAGAAGCAATTGTTATCCTCTAGTTTACTTTGAAATAATTGTTAATCACTAAATTAAACATTTTTTTTTTGTGTCACTTTCTATTAAAAAAAAACGTGTCTGGCTTAAAAAGGAAAAAACTTGAATTTCCTTGTTTCTGTGTAAAATCAGACAATGGTTGGTCACTTTTGTAAGTTTTAAGGTCTGCTATCATTATCAATTTTATGAAATAAATCTAATCGATATTTTATTTTCATATCGATAATACGGAATCGAATTACACAATCGATATACTTAATTGAATTATTGCGAATACTGAAATGTTTTCAAAGATTTTTTATAATCGTCGAATAATTATAATACGAACGATCAAAAATGTTACAAAGACAAGTTCAACTTTGAAATTATATCATATATTATTAACAATAGCTATTTCATAGTTTGGATCACGTTTTGCTTTAAGTGAAATTTTATTAAATATAGGGGGGTACCTCCTGTCTGCCTAACGGTGAACCAACCCCCATTTTACAAATTATACTACTGTTAATATAATTGAACTATTCGTCGCTCAAATTTGATAACTGAAATTTACATGTATTCTATAGTTCATATTCTATTATTTTTTTACCTTAATTATACATGAAATATTTAGTAAGGAGCAGTATTGGGATCGTGAAAATTTTCGAATCTTGAGTTTTAAACGGAAATACGTATTTCGAGGCCTCCTGAGTCCAAATAACCAAGTCCCGCAAAATGGTCTGTGTGAGCGTGTGTCTGTATGCATGTGCCAGGTCTAGCTCAAAAACGAAAAGTCGCATGAAAGTGAAACTGCATATTTAAGGTTTGTATGTACCTTAGACGTTACAGCAACGTTTTCGTCAAACCGGAATAACCGGAAATGGTACTTTATATAATCGGTTTAACACATTTTTTACGATTTTCTGAAAAACGGCTTAAAGGATTTTGATTAAACTAAGTATATCCGTGTATTATTCAGCTGTTTTTAATACATTGTAGGTTTTATTCTCATTGATGTTCTCTACTTTGTCATATTACATACTTTGTCCTTAATTGATCATATCACCTCATGAGAATGGGCCTGGTAGAATGCCAAAATGTTAATGGGAGAATAACATACTTTTTGCAATTTTCGTTATTACACAGCTCTTAATCGGTATATAAGACAATATATATATGTTTATAATATATACACATGTACGTTGTCTTATTTACAGATTACGAGCTGTGTAATATCGAAAATTGCGAAAAGTAATTTTTATGTACAGTTTCGGAGTTAATTCATCAAGTTATAATTGCTCTAGCCTTTGAATGATTGAAGATAAGATTGTAAAAAAAAAAAATAATATTAAACAACTATCTTATGATTTTTTCTTAAAATGAAAAGATATAGAATTGGCCAGTCAGATATGATAAAAATGAAATGCAAATTTTTTTTTCCATATTAGTGAATTACGATGACAGATATCACGGAAACTATAGAATATAGCGAAAAAACTAATATAACTATTTCTATTGAAAATTGTGTCAGCTTTAATTTCACAAATGACATTATTTTAGATAAAACGCATAGTTTCGCTGATATAAGCGAAAAAAACAAAAAAAGTAAACTTTTTGAATCGTAAATTCTATTTTTCGATCTGAAATCCACTGGTAGGTGGTAACTGACTATTATTTCATGTCTTAAGACTGTGAATACTATAAATTGAAAGGATTGGTAGCTTTATATATCTATAAGCCTTCTCTATATATACGCTTACAACCTACGTAGGGACTCTATTTATCTTCACATGGCCGCCATTTTGTATTCCAGCGGCTATATGATGGCAGAAGTGCATTTTTCTCATCAGGTCTGTGTATATCATCAATTTATAAGGACAAAGCTTAGTATGAAATATGACACTTTTTTTTGCCACGGTCTTCCAGACTAAGATATTAAAGCTCCGAAAAGGTTCAGTAAGCCCTCCATAAGGTAATGAAACAGATTTAAAAATAAAATTTATGGGCTTTAATAAGAAACTGCTTTCGGAAGAAGGGGGAGAAAGGGGGTGAAGGACCATATTACAGGTTAGCAAAGGCGAATTGAGTGGTGAGGGGGTCCTAAACAGGGGTACCTCCCTTTCTCAAGAACGCCTGATGAACCTCACTCCCTCCTCCCAAGATATTTTATTGCTCAATTCTTCATAAAAACAGTGCAAACCAAGTAGAATTAGTGAAATCCTAGACAAGGTACAATTATCCTTGCTGTGGTATGTTCCATGTTTTTCTCTTGTCCCCTAGTTTAAACTTTTCATTCCAAAAAATTCAAAACCCCATCGAATTTTTTTTTTTTTTCCCCTACCTCGCCTTTTAGGCTATACGGGATTTTCCCGGGCCGGGGGGTGAGGGCGGGGAAATTTAAAATCCCCTCCGGCACCGGGACGCGAACTCATACTTTTTATATCATCTCAAATCTGTTATCCGGTAGCCAGGCAACTAGCGATGCTGTTACACACGCTTTAGCCTATTCGGCCACCCCGCTCCCACCCCCATCGAAATATCCTCTCCCTCAAAAAATCACTACCCCGTCAAAATAGGCTCCCCTTCAAAAGTTTTGATGGAGCAATATACTCCATGAAACCCCCTTATCGGGAACTCCTGGTCCTAAGGTCTTTATTTCGATCAGTCCCCGCCACAATATTCGGTTCACAAACAAGCTAAATGAAAAAAATCTGGTGCATTGAGCGCATCACACAGCTTTCACTTACCACCCTCTTCTTAGCAGAAATAAGTATTTTCAGACAAAGGGGAAGTGAAAGTAAAAATTATAGATGCTATATTTAAATATATTTTATTATGGGTGTTTTTATTTTTATAAATACTCATTTATATACAAATTTTAATATTTATATCGGTGCAATCTATACAATTAAATATTAAATAATACCAACAATCGCATTTATGAAAACCGCTTATGTATATTTATATAATATTGTCAGAGTTCCTATTATATTATGCTCATGTTAGGACACAGAAGCGTGTTCTAATCTTTCGGGTGAACTCAGGTGCGCTCGTTTTCCTTTGGTTTCCCAATTACAACTATTCTCCGTTACGATCTCTCATTTCTTTTTTAGTTAATTGTAAAATTCTTTCATATTTTAAATTTGACTATCTTTTATATTACAGATTAATGTGAAATGGTCAATGGTTTCAAACAAAGAAAATTAAAGGTTCTTTAGAGGATGCTAATATTGAAAATTAGCCATTCAAGCCCTTAATCAGAATAAAAACTGCATTTTATTTAAAACTGCACAATAATGCACAGATATACTTAGTTTAATCAAAATCGCTTAAGCCATTTTTGAGAAAATCGTAAAAAATGTGTTAAATCGATTATACAAAGTACCACTTCCGGTTTGCTGATTTTAACGTAAAAGTTGCTGTAACATCCTTAGTATATAAAAACCTTAAATATGCAATTTCACTTTCGTACGACTATTCGTTTTTGAGCTAGACTGTTAACATACACACAGAACATTTTGCAGCACTTGGTTATTTGGACTCAGGAAACCTCAAAACATTTATTTTCGTTGAAAATTCAGACCCAAAAATTTTCACGATCGCAATACTTACCCTTACTATATACTGCATATATAGGTAAGTGAAAGTAAAAAATCTGGAGCGAGCAACACACTTTCACTTACCGCTCAACTTTGAAAATAAATTATTTTCTTGCCATGTTGGGCTATTATAAAATTTTGAATTGCATTTTTAACCGAGTGGAAGCTAAAATCTTACAGCTAATAAATCATAAATACCTTTAAATAACAAAAGTCCTCTTTATTATATTCCCGGTTGATTATGGACTTTGCGATCCGTTGATTATGGATTGTACTGTCTGTTGATTATGGATTCTACGATCCGTTGATTATGGATTGTACGACTAATTGTAATTGAACTGTTATTTTCCATTGCAAAGTTTACTAAAATGGAATTAAGAGATTTTCATTGCCTTGCCATGGATAGGTCAAAAGTTGTCTCACTAATTGTAAGTGGATGCTGTTGGGATGTCACAAAGGGAAAATAAATCAAATTATTCACTAATTTGATTTTCTAAAAAGTTAGATGACAATTTTTCGGAATAAACGGACGTTGATACCTAATTATTGAAGTATAATATCAGATCTAGAATTATTAAACTACAGTAAATGTATTTAAGGTTATACTCCTGAACATATGCTCTATATATCCATGAAAAGATTTTATATGTCACTTATTCTTGCACACAAGAACACTGAAATAGTTTTTTAAACAATGTCATTGCCTTGATTAGGTGGATTTCAAATACTTTTTCAAACTTAAAAATATTTTAAAAGTTTACATTTACTTAGTAAATTTCATTTGATTTCCTTATAAACATGTGATTTACGTTAAATAATATAAGTTTTCAAAAATTATTATTTATATTTTTTCGCCATTCTCCGTTACCTTCTACAACTTTCTATATTAGACATTGTTTTTTTTCTAAAATTCTCCACTTTCCAACGATAGATTATACGTTTAACTTCTGACTAGTATTTCCGGTGATTCATTTTCGACCTGGATAAGCATTTTTATTTTTTCACCTTTATCAATTATCAAATTCTTTCAAAAGTTATATTTAGCATTTTTTCGTAACTCTAAATAATGTGAGATGATTAATTATTTAAAATAAAACTTTATGTACTTTAGAGAAAGGCGTATATGAACATTGGGCATTTAATTCCTGTAAAGTGACATCAATGGGGATAAGACCTGATTGATATTAAAGACTACTTAATTATATAATGATACACCGACTTTAAACAAAATCGTTAGAGTCGTTTTTGAGAAAATTGTAAAAATGTGTTTCAGCGTTGTTATAAAATGGCATTTCCGGTAAGCCGATTTTAAGAAAAAATTTGCTCTCACATCTAAGGCATATATATACCTATCTTAAATACTTAATATCAATTTCGTACGACTTTTCGTTTTTGAACTAGACTGCTAACATACACACAGACAGACCATTTTGCGGGCCTTATTTATTTGTACTCAGGGTGCCTCAAAACGTGTATTTCCATTGAAAACTCAGATTCGGAAATTTTCACGGTCGCAATACTTTCCCTTACTATATATTAGATATATAGGCAAGTCAAAGTAAAAAATAATAAAAAAGTTCATAAAAATGTATTGTCATCCAGATTGTGACTAAAAGAATTTAGTAGACTCATTCCCCCGATAAGAGTGAGCGATAATCCTCTTAAATGCACTCTATAGCTTATTAATTGTATCCTGTCTTTAAATTGGGGACTCTGTTTTAAACCTGGAGTGTCGATAAAAACCTGTTGTTTGTACTATCTCATTCAACCGTACATCTTGTATTGATCAAGAGGTATCTTAAAAAAAAAATGCAAAATATTGAATCAATTAAATTGTTTCTGGAATACCTAACTTCAGAAAAAAAGTGCATCCTTAAATTTTAATAAGTTTGATTAATATTGAACCATTCCTACTCCGGTTATTGCTTCCTTCTATATTTACTCTACTTCACTGATACTTTGATCGTCTGATAATCAATATTTTCGAATTAAAAAATAAAAATATTCTCTAAAATAAATTGAACTCATGAATATGGCCGTGAATAATGAGCAACAGGTTTCAACTGTTATCAGTGCCAAGAGATCATGGCCACGTATTGGTCAACTTCCAATCTTGTTTTATCGTTTTATGCTTGACTTTCAAGTTGATTTTCATTACCAGTTAAGCTGATTCCTTAGAAGTGACGTCCGTAATATGCGTCATTATTGATTTTTATTTGACATTTCGCATTTATTATTGTTTACGGCTAATGAAATCTTATCAGTATTTTTTAAAATTGTGATCTCTATTAATATTTATTTATCATTAATCTAGCAGTTAGTTATTTATTTAAATGGCAGAGAATGATTCAGAAAACCCTCTTGTTTATAAAAATATTGAATCAATAGATGATATTGATGTTGGCATTATACCTGAAAAGAAAGGTCTCTTCATTAAACATGTTGAGTATGTTGTTACCAGCAAGGTACTGCCATTAATCATCTATAAATAGTGATAAATCATTTTAATATATTTATGTTAACGCTCTGTTTCTTTATAGAGATTTTCTTCTCACGTATTCAGAAGGTACAATGACTTTGTTGCATTTTATGAGCTCTTGTTGGGTAGATTTCCCTATAGACTTATTCCCAAATTACCTCCTAAAAAAGTAGTTGGAGGTATGTTAATGATTTATGTACGTTTATTTCATTGTCAAAAATATATCTTATTAAGTCCATAAACATTTATCGATTATAGTTTTTCCGAGTGATTCGAACTTCCTTGAAAATAGAAGAAAAGGTTTATGTAGATGGTTGACACTTGTATCTCGACATCCAGTTATCTGTCAAGATACCCTCTTAAGTTACTTTCTGACACAAAATGTTCACGATCTTCAAAGTAAGATTAAAGAAGTATTCAAAAATATTCCTGATGAGTTTACTACCTCTCACCAAGCCGCTAGAGCAAAGGCAAGTAACATTATTTGCTCATGAAATTTTCTATTTGTATCTTTATTCACTTTTAGTTTTTGATTTATTTGTCAGGAGCTTGTGCCCGCCAATAATAGTACAGAATTTGCCTCAAGTAGAGCTCAATTAAGGTTGATTCATTGTGGCGTTCTCAAGATAAAAGAGATTGCTGATCACATTGCTCTCAGATCTCATAGGTGTGTCTCTTAGATTGAATGTTAACCCTATACCTATATTATTTATGTTTAATGTGCTTATTTATTATGCAATTCGTCAGCTATTCAACAGACATGGATATCCTTGGATCTGCATTGAATGAACTTGGAACAGAATGTGGCATAACAAACTGGGGAACAGGTGGAAATAATAATTGGAGGGAGTTAAGGAAAGGACTTGGATTGATATCTAAGTAAGTGAATTATATTTTTTTTTCTCCTTAGCTGGAAAAATAATAAATATCATATGTTTTCCTTTAATATCATAAATTAGTTGAGAACTTTTATGTTAAACCCTGTTAAGCCCACTTTTTTGATATTTTACAGGATCTAAAAAAACTGAAAAATGTCAACTTATAAGATTGCAGAATGATTTGGGGAAACTGGTTATAATTAATGGGTTGTATCGGGAAGTCTTATTGACATACAGTCTGAATTAAAGATTTCTAAAAAAATTGATGTTTTGGATTGGTATTTGTGGGTTTTAGCATTGTGATATGGGCAAGCAAACTTGAAAAACATTAAAAAATATTTATTGAACTCTTTTTTCTTTTTTAAAATTGTTTTTAAATATCAAATAAATATGGTTTTATAAAGATAATTTAATTAAAGGTTTATTAATTATTGTTTTTTTTTCTGCCAAATTCACGATTGAATTTATTTAGAATAATAAAATATCACAGTTCATTTTTTTAACTTTAAGAGGACACCTCAGAGAAATTTTAAGGAAAAAAATATTTTTCTTCAACTACCATCTTTTCCCTTGAAATAAGTCCATTAAGATCCCTATAAGAATAATTCCATTGTTTGTCATCCTTTGAAGCAGACTAGTTCATCAAGAAGTCAATCAATTTTTCTCAAACAAAATTATAATATTTTTAAATTATATTTCTGGAGATTCATTATCATTATTTTTGTATGGATGATGCACAGTTTATTTTAAATACTTTTCCGAAGATATGCAGACGCAAACTTCCTGTCAATGATAAGATAATGAAATGAAATCTGATCTAAATTTTTTCTGTGGTTACATTAAAATTAATAAATAATATTAATAGCAACATCTTGTTGGTTCAATGTTCCTTCCTGCACCATGCTTAATTACTCATATTTTAAACATGTTAAATGTTGAGATTTTATTAATAGGTCATGCACATTTTGGTATTAGTTGTAGCCTGTTTTCTTAAATTCGAACTTAGTGCAGATACAAAATTGTATTTAATGAGGTGAAATTATTGTTAGTATTGGTTGTCTAATAAGTCCTTTGGGTTTTTCTGTTTATTTTTATGTTATTACAATACACTTCTTATCTGACAAATTGATCCCTAAGATGAATTGTTTATCCTATTTGTAACATGTCAACAACCATTTCTGTAAAATCTTGTTACAATTAGATTAGTATTATATTTGGTATTGCGCTGTGAATATGGAAGAAAATATCATTCACTATTGGCATATTTTGCTGTATTGATTTAAAAAAGGTTAACATGCTGCAGAAGTTCATAAAAAAAATTGTAGTTTTTATGAGTGCTTGGTGTCTCAACCAAGCAGATGTGCCAAAATTAGTTTTTTGAAATTTTGTTTAGGAAATTTTGACATAAGTAATGCTCCGCAGTCTGGGCGTCAATCTATGAGCCATTGCCATCAGGAGTAAAAATTGATTCAACCCTTTACTGCTTGCAATTATCGAAATGAGATCAATCAATTAAAAAAAATGACCAGAACTAGCAAATCAGAAGGATTTTGTTTTTCACCAAGACAACGCTATCCTCTGCTCCTCATTGGTCACACTTAAGCTTTGGATGGACCCTTTTTGTACCACCCTAACTATTTACCAGACCTAGTCCCAAGCGACTACCACTTTTTTCAGTTTCTGCAGAATTCCATAAATCGAAAGCAATTCTAAAATGAACAGAACATCATAAAAACAGTTAGATCAGTTTTTTGACAATAACCTCAAGAGGTTCTGTGGACATGGCAGAATGCTGTTTGTGGCAAGATTAAAATAAATGTATGCTTATAATACATCCAGTTTATTTCACCCTAAAAAACCGAAATGACTTATTTGCCAACCCAATATTGATTTGTAAAGTTGCAAAATTATCTTCTAAACATTTTGTAATATGAAACCATAGATACAAAATGTATTTTTAAAAAACATTCCCCTCTATTTCATCATTCCACTACCACATAGGTGTTATAATAAAACATTCTATTCTATTATTATTAACTTGTTTTGAGACCTGGCATCCTCTATGTGCTTCCACCATTTATCTCTGCATAAGACAGCCATTTTTCAATCACTGACTAACAAAATGTTTTTCACATCAGCTGCTGTTCTACATAACTTTGGACATACAGCTCTCATTATGTACTAAAGCTCCTCTCTTCATATTATTCTTGTAATTTCTTCATCTGACATTCCCACTATGAGGTCCATCACCAATGCAGTTATCCCTAGATCAAGAAAGATACTCTCTAATTCTTCAAAGTAATTTGCTATGACATATAGATATCAGCAGAGTCAAGTAGTTGGACCAATCTTGGTTATTAATATGTGATAATAACAAGTAATGTTTTATTTTTAAGATATCAAGATAATTTTCAGTCTTTTTTACTAATTTATTTTAATTTAATAGAATTTTTTTTATTTTTAATCACCTCTACCCTAGAGAGTCATTGGTGGTATGTTTTTATACTCTATTGTAATGCTTAGTTTCTACTAAGTATTTGAACAGAGTAGTGAATCTGTCTTCATTGTCGTTGCTAATTTTAGGTTTTGGCGGATTCGTTTAAACTGTTGGCACTCAAGTAATAGATGTTTCACTGATTGTGGGCTCTTGTCACACTTTTGGCACATGAGTGCTTCTAGACCTCCAAGAAAGTACCCATGCTTGAATTAGGCAGTGACCAATCCGTATTTGGCACAATATGATTTCCTCCCCTCTGGATTTTCTCGTGATTGTAGCCCATTTCTTGCACTCTGTTTTTATTTCTATTAATTTAGAGTCTTTAATTTTCCAAGTTTTTCCCCCAACCTTCCAATTGTTTTGTTTTTGTCTCTTGTATCTAATCTTCTATTGTGATATAATTTATCGCAGTCGTGGTTGGTACCTCTCCCTTCCTCGCTAAATTAGCAGCTTGCCTATGGTACCACAATGGAATGGAACCTAAATTAAGAGTACACTGATAGTTCTTTCTTTCAATTCCGACCATAGGTTCAATATATCCCTAATGAGGGGATTGCTATGGATTACTGATTGCTGTCATGACTTTGAAGTCTGTAGCTACCACCCATTTATTCTCATTGGAATTTGATATCCAATGAAGAGCTTTCATGATCGCAATAGCTTCTCCGGTATAAATGGAGCTCTCTCCTCATAAGCTAAATATGAGTTAGCGTTAAGAAAATTATAATGTAATTTTATTTTTTCATTTATTAAATGTCATGCGATATGTTTATATTTGAAGGGAATTTGCCCAGTTATCTAAGACAGCTGAAGAACAGGCACGAAAAGAAGAAGATGAAGTTTGTGAAAGACTGTCTTATCTCCTCGATATACTCAGTGGTCATTCCGAGCTCTGTGAAAGAGTAGAGAGGGGAGTTTCATATGAACATCAGAATGCACTTTCTAAAATGCTAACTTTGAAGAAAAGGCAGATTCAAGGTGTCTTACGAGGTTCAGATGTATGTTAATTATGTTTTTATACTTCAAATTTATTGTTATTTCTGATATATTGAGAGATACCCAAAAATTTCAGGCTGAATCTGTTGCTACTTTAGAAAACCGTATGTTGGAGCAAGAATCTGTGATTGAGTCAGTTGAACTAAGAACTGCATTTTCCCTGTATTGTGTCAGAATGGAGACACAGTTAGTACATACTTACCTTGAAACTTTGGCACATGTTCTTAACAGTCTTGTTACTGTACAAATTAATAGCCATACTGAGGTAATCTTATTTGAATATCTAGTATTTGCTTTATTAATTAGTTTTAGTAAGGGCTCTCCTTTTTATTTATTTATTTTTTTTTTACCATTTTTATTGTTAGTTATTTTGTAATATCTGGTTCTAAATCGTTATTGTTTGTTAAATTAAAGTAGTTTTAAACAAATCAGCCTAAAAATACATTATTAAATGTTTCTCTTGGAAGGAGTCTGTCTCTCACTCTCTTTCATTTTATTTCAGTAATGGAAATCCTAATTACGGTAAAATAGTTTTATGTAAAGTGACTTAAATTTGAAAATAAATTATTTATTGAATTTATTTTTTCACATTTTAAACACCAGAAGAATGTGTTTTTTTCTTTTCAATTCAATTCATTGGTACCAATAGCTTTATTTAAATATTGAATCCTGTTCTTTTTTCTTATTACCATTCATGTCACTCGCCCACTAGAAAAGTTTGATATGTACTTGAGTCTTGAGTTTTCCCAAATTTCTTGCAGATATCGATATTTTTTTCCCCTTTATTCTATTCCTACATTCAGCGAAACAAATAATTTATACCAGCTTAATCTGCTGAAATTTATTTAATAAAAATGTTACTATTGTCCTTGTGTACCTTTCTTGATTTTATTTCAAAGTATATATATACATATACTTTGAAATAAAATCAAGATATATATATGTTATGTTGAATTTTTCAGCTTGCCAGAGTTTGGAATGTGATCTTCCCAAATGTTAATGTTGGTTTATCTCCAAATAAAAAAAACAAAATGTGATATTCATTGTTAATTACTTATTATTTTATCATTAATTTTTGTGTGATATCAAAAGTATTTTGTAGATTTTATATATTTAATGATAGATCTGTTTAGATATTTATTTCTTTTTAACTATAATGACTTTAGTCAGACATTTTTGTAATATTATATACATTAAATGTATGTGAGATATAAGTGCCTTAAACTTAATAATTATAGATTATTGTATGTTACATTCCAAATGAAAATTTAGATCTAAAAGAAAATTTGTAATATATATATTGTTAAATTTAATGTGTAATATGTAATGAAATAAATATTAATGTTATTTTAACATTGATTTTTTTCCCATCAGAAATATTCCTTACTCCTAATATATTTATAAATGAAGTTAAATACAAAAATAGGAATTTCCCTAAAAATTACAAGTCGAATTATGTTCAGAAGAGACCTAAATCATGTTGGACAAATTTATTTAGTAAAAGTCATGGATTAGTCCATTTGAGGTCTCAGATGTATCCAAGAATAACAATAGACCCTATTTTGGGTCTTTGAAAACTAAATTTGGATAAATTTTATTACAGGGCGAATTATTAAATTTTATCTGGAGTCAGTTGACCAGTCTCTATCACTCTGGTGGCATGATTGCATTCCCTATTTCTGTTCAGCGAGTCTATTATGAGTTTGTATTAGCTCAAGTTGTACAGTGTGACAAAAGGCAAATACTAACTGACTGAATCTCATAAAAATGGAGGTTTCTGTTTAATTCAAGAGTTAAAGAAGTATATGCAACTAACTATTCTAGGATCTATTTATATAGATTTATGAACCACATATATGTAATAATAACTATGAATACTTAATCTTTTCTTCTTATAATTTTATTTTTTTTATTTTCATATGCACCAGTCATAAAAGTGACAGCAGATTGGCATGAGGAGTATAAATTTAAAACAAATAATTACTCAAAGGCCGCATAAGTAATTCTAAATTAAATTGAATTTGAAAACTTAGAAACGAAAATTGTGCATGATATATAATTTGGATGTTCTGTTACTTGTATTAAAATATAACTAGGTTATGCCATACCAAATCATCCAGAAAATGTTCAATTTGTAACCCACCCCCCTTAGATCTTAATGAAAATTTTAAAATATTAAGTAAATGTACATGTTAGTAAAAACACCAAATTTTAGCTAATTTTTACAATTAGTTTCAGAATTAAGGGATTTTAAACTTTTGAAATATTTGAAGTTGGGAAGACATTTTGGGCTCAAAATCGGCATGCACCTGTGTAGTTTTCATTTGTAAAACCTATACTTATTGACCAAGAGCTTTCAAAATTTATTCATCTGTCATAAATTTAATACAAAATCTTCTGATACCATAAGTTTTGGCATTATAATTTTTCTTCATGTATAAAAAAATTCTTAAACATAATTTTCAAAAGAGTGATATAAATATCTAAAACTACCTGTAATTAAAATCTCTCCAAATGCCCCAATACAACCATATATTAATGAAAACAGCATAAAATACTCTACCAAATGCAAACATTTTAATTTACCAGCTATAAAAACAAGTGAAATTTGCTTAAATATCTCCCCAAATATCCTAGTATAACCATATATCACTGAAAAGAGCATAAAATAATATTTGTGTTATTTTGAGTTACAAGAGATTTATTATAATGTAAATCAAATAAGTTTTGGCGCGATGAGGAAGTGGTGTGCTAATCGATATCGCAAAATACATATTAATAAAATTTCTCTCCAAATACCCAAATACAACCATACATGAGTGAAAACAGGATGAAATATTCTATTAAATGAAAAAAATAATAATAGTGGACTTTTGAGTTTGAAGAGATATGTTCCAATTTAAACCTAAAACATTCAAAGTTAATTTATCAGTTACATATACAAATAAAAATTGCTTTAATCTCTCTACGAATATTGCTTGAAACAGCATGCAGTACTCTTCTAAATGATAATATAACATTGGGGGAGGGCCTATTCAGATTAATGAGATTTATTATAATATAGATAAATAAAATAATTTCTGCATATTGCGTTGTCGGTATGGTCAACAAAATAATTTTTGTATTTATTAAACTGGGGTATAAGTAACTCCTTAAATGTTTAGAGGTAAAGGTCAAAATGTGTTAAATTTTGAGGAAGTAAGTAGGTCATGCCAAATGGTTCAATATTTTTGAAGGACACCTTTTTTCTCGAATTTGTGCTCAACTCAAATTATCTTACGATTCAAGTAAGTGGAAAGCAAATTGGTATTTACGAGTTTTTATTAACTAATTAAATAGACAAAGTTTGACGATCTCCACATTGAAAATGCCCAATTCCGAGGATTTTTGTACATAAAATAGTTGTAGGTTACGATGAGATGAAGTTTCAGGCGGATGTTAATAATTTGATAAAAAGGGGTCTGTACCACTAAATCTTATAGGTTGCTTATTTAAATTCAATGGCCCCTCCAATGTTATTTAACATTTGGAAGAGTATCGCATGCTGCTTCAAGCAATATATGGTTATATTCGGAGAGAGATTATAACAATTTTTACTTGTATACATAACTGATACATTAAATTTGAATGAATTAGGTTTAAAAAGTGTAACAAAACTCTACAAACTCAAAAGTCCACCAATATTATTTTTGCATTTGGTAGAGAATTTCATCCTGTTTTCACTCATGTATGGTTGTATTGGGGTATTCGGAGAGAGATGTTAGCTAAATGTATTTTTCGATATTGATTAACATACCATTTCCGCGTCATGCAAAAACTTATTTGATTTACATTGTAATAAATCTCTTATAACTCAAATATTATTTCATGGTCTGACAGAAAATTTCATGCTCTTTTTATTGATATATGGTTATACAAATTTCACTTGTATTTGTAACTGGTATATTAAAATTTGCTGTATTGGGTTAACTTAACTGTATTTCAAAAGTTTTAAGCCCATAATTCTGAAAATCGTTAAATTGGGTAAAATTTGGTATTTTTGCTTAAATGTATTTTGGCTAAATATTTACAAATTTTCATTAAGATCTGAGGGAGTTGGGTTACGGGCCAAAGATGATTTGGCATGGAATGACCCAACTGTAAAAAAAAAGAAAAATATATGAAAATTATTTTATTGAAAATAATTAAATCAAAGTTATCTTAATTTTTGAACAAGAAAAATTATTAAAATAAACCAAAAGTTACATGTCAATGAAATCCATATCATATTCATCTTCATTGCCAAAGAGACTTCTTTCTCCTTGATGAATCTTAGAACAGTGAAACTACAGAATTGTCCATATTTTTTTTTTATCTCTTAGGAGATGGTATTACATGAAGGAAGTGGTAATGACATCAAACTTCTGGTTTGCTTAGCTTTATATATATTTTTATGCATCAACTAAAATAATTAAATAAATAGCACTGTCATACGCATATATATATATATATTTTTTTAGTTAAAAAACTATAAAAGGGATTAAAGAACAAGAGTAATTACACATAAATTTGATTCACCATATTTTTATTTAAATAGCCCGTTACATCTGATTTCACGGCTTTATATACTGTTCAAATTTTTGCTTTTTATTTACTTTTTAAATTTTTTTTTTATTTTTTGTTTAATATATATACCTCAACCTATGCAATTATTATCCCGTAGTTTGCTCACAGCAGGCTGGGTGTTATTTAAAAAAATATTTACACAACCGTTCATACAAATTATAACAAAAATCTCTCAAGCATATGATACTTATACAATCACACTGTAACAATCAAGAGAGGCGTGGTAATTATAATCAATTATGTGTATATATAAATACTGAAAAAAGAAAAACTTAAATTATGTATAAATTTCTTGATAAAATGATATTCACTTTGAGGAATGGGTTACATAATATATTACATTATTCCAGTACAAATACACAGCGTTCTATCAAGTCCTATTTAATACAAAAATAGGCATAGCTTACTTCATTTTAGCTCACTTTAGGTACAAACCGTAATAATTACAGTACAATTAAATATGACACAATTCTTATCATAAAATTAATTTTTATTTTATAAAATCTGTACACCAAAGTACCGCTTATGTAAATATTTTTCAGGCTTCTCCATTAACAACTAACATAAGAAAAGCCGAAATACTTAAGGCATCTTGGCTTACAATATCGACATATCTATGATATATATATATATTTATAATGTATATATATTGAGATAAATCATTAATAATAAAAAAAAAATAAGATACATAAATAGCTCATGAATGTTATTAGTAATAAATAAATATGATTAGAAAACTTGTGAGAATCTCACGAGTGGATGGGGAATGTTGTGTACTTAATTTAAACACAATGGAAGATCCAATTTCTTACAAATACATTTAGAAAATGCAAACAATAATACAATAATGTTATTGACCCATGATGGGCAATTGTTCTGGGCTCTATTACTTTTTAAATAATTACAATTTTTTTTTCTGTTTTGGCACCAGACATATTGTACAAAAGTTTCTTTTTTTTTCTTTTCTTTTTTTTACAATTTTCTTTTTTATTGTTAACACTAACTACAACGATGAATTTACAATTGTATTTAATAAGTACGACCGGAATCGGTTTCCGGGCCTATAATAAGCTGAGAGTCGTGGTAGCGTTTATTTCTGGTATTAGCTGTACTCCAAAATTGTTGGTAGAATATTGAAATGGTTAACTTTCCATACAGCTAGCTCCCTGGAAAACAAAACAAATAAATAAATATACCATAATTCACACAATGTAACAACTTAATTTTTTTATTTTTAAAAGTTTAGTTTTTAAATATAAAAAACTCAAATACCATATTGATCCATTGAGGTTTATAAAGGTGCAGAGTCATCGCCATCTAAACTATCATCCGTGGTATTGTTCATTTCCTTCTGATCTTCGGTTGTGATCGAGCCTCGTTTACTTGAGCTTAGTCGGCTCGAACTTAGGCTTGATATGCCACCTCCCCTTCTAAATTTTAAGTAAACAAATTAATTAGAATAACTATATAAACATTATATGAATGAGATTATATATAAATCAATGATGATCTGATTACTATCAACATTATTATAATAAATATACATACTAATTATCACTTTTTGAAATTTACCAGTTTCAACAAATTATAGGAACATAAGTGCTTGGACATTGGATGATGTTCAGGAATTAAAATTATTATTCTTTGAGAACTTAATGTTTATTTCTATTCCCAAAGTAGGAAAAATACCATAATTTAATAAATATTATAGGAAATAGCTAAAGTTGATTACAAATACATCTTCTAACAATACAAATTAAAAGATGTTAAATAAGGTGGTCTATTAATATTAAAAATCAATGCTAAAGCACATGGCACACAATAGATCCTTGTGGTCGTACTACTCTGCACAAAAAAAAAAAAAAAAAAAAAAAAAAGTAAAAGCAACATGACATATTTCAATTTTGCCAACCTTCCAGGAGAGTAAAAACATATATGTAAATAAGCACATATCCTCATATTTCTGTATCATATAAATATAGTTTTTTTATTAATTCAAATTATAATAATCTATCATTATCTTCAGATTCCATAGGAAATTATATTACAAATTAATATAGAAGAAAGCACTTATAATATAATGAAATGTTTTCTGTATACAATTAAGTTTATTATTTTTTATGTTGATAAAAACAGAAGGGAGTCCATGATTGAGCATGTTAAAACAGTATATACATAAACACTTACTCCAAAATAAACTTTGGCAATGAAAGTTTTTATTTTGTATTAGGTGGGTATGAACATATTTTGGTCGTTTATAGAACTATTATTTTGTTTTTCATGAGCAACTGAACTCTTTTGACAATAGCTGGTACTATTTAAAGGCAATGCCTGCATTTTGGATACATAAGGCTGCGTGGTTTGGAATTTTTTCTAGTTATAATCCTAACAATAAGTATTATATTTGTATAAAGCAACCTTAGAACTTAAATTGTTCAAAATGCGCTTTATATAATTACCTTATTAATTAAAAAAAAAACTATTAACAGTTTTATTCTCATTATGTAAAATAATAGGTTTATCACTATTAATGAGATGTCCATTCTAGTAGCTATATTGGATCAATGTTTCTTTCGCAAATATTTTTTGTCATTTTAATGTTGAAATATTTGTCCTATAGAATTTTCTTTTGTTTCTTAAAAATAAATTTTAAAGCAATATTATCTTTACTTATTTACACCTATCTATTTGATCAATTGTTTTTTTATTTATAATTTATTTAAATTATTTATGGTAAATATATTCTAATTTAGTAAATTCCATAAACTTATTTATATATTTCGTCAATTACATAAATAAAAAATTATTTAACCATACCATATTGAATAAACAGTCATCAGTGAATATAATTATATTTAAAATCATTTAAATGTTATAAAATTATGAGTTATACCTATACCAATTTCTATTTTGTGTATTATAATTGATTATCATACCTCAATTTATTCTTGAGATTATTACACTCTTTAAGGAGAGACTCATTAGCCTCTTTCATATCCTCAAGCTCCCGTTGGGCTTTCCTCTTCATTGTCTTTTCTCTACTCATCTCTTCTTCAGCTTCGTCCAAGGAACGTTTCAAAGTTTTCACTCGATTATTAATCTGTAAAAAAAAAAGTTTTCACAATTTAAAAAGAAATAAAAGTAATACATTCATATAAGAGTTCAATTTAATTTCTGAAATCAAATAATCTATAAAGCTATTATTCTATACATAAGTTAAAATACGCAATACCCAAATCTCAAACCATTTTTCCTCAGGTTATGATAGTTATATTGTGATATAAAAGTCCATAAAAATCAACCATAATTAATTTCTCATACTTTTAATGTAACACTCATGAAAAAAAAAATACTTTGTGATAAAATATTGTTTTGCAAATTTAATTTTTGTTATTTATTAATTTATTTTTAAAGTATGAGTATATTCTCTAAATCATAACAACCCCTGGACTACTACGAATGGAACAGTCGTTGACAAAACAAAACACTGAATAAACACAAAATGTTACTGAAGGATAGAGCTCATAATGGATTTTTCTTTTATTATATACTTTTCACAATTATTTATTCTTTAGGTTTCCTCAAATTAAGGGAAATTTCAGTCTAACTTCAAGTGGGGACCAGCATTAGTGAGATGTTGGGGCTGGTATTTAATCTCCTGGTCTCAACATCACTACTGGTTTCAGATCAATAATATTAACTAAATTAAAACCAACTAATTGCCCCTTTATTAATGAGCAGATGTTACAGACTATTTCCATTGGGAAAGTATATTCTAAAAATCTACAAATGGAAGAAAAATATTATTTAAAAACAAGTGCTAGTACTAAACAGAAATAATTATGATCAAGATACAAGGCAAAACATGGAAAAAATAACAAGCCAGAACAGCTCCTCGGCGAATCTAATATAGTAGTCTCCATTATCAAAGATGGAAGACTGTGGTGCAAGGGATGTCAGAGGAGAGTCTGCTAATGAAGATGGTAGTAAATGGCAAGTAGAGGATGGCAAAGGAACATATGATTATCACAACAAGGCTCAACTAGGGCTGTAGGGGCATTTAGTAAATGTGGAGGTGTATGAGAAATGGGAGGGGTAGAACTGTGGAACGCCACAGATCATCTTTAGCAAACTATAAATGAAGTTGAGTATTATAGAAATTATTTTTGATCTTTAAAAAATAGCTGATAGTTTTCTATCAAATCAATATTATTAGCAAAAACCAAATAAGAGGACTGAACATGCGAATGTGCCTATTTTTTAATTTATGATTTAAAATCAGGGTTGCGGTACATAACCACATTAATGTATATGAAAATTCTTCTCACATAATATAAATAAAATTTCTAATAGATATTTATTTTCTTTTACCTTTTCTACTTGTTCTTTGTATTGGTCAGCATGCCTCCTCTCATCTTCCAGTTGGACAACTAACTCTTTGATCTTCTTCTCTAACTTCCTGTTAGCCTTCTGTTGCAACTGCTTTTCCCTTTAATAACAAAGAACAAGATCATATATATATATATATTATAAATAATATTCAATGCTCATAAAAAAATATTCTACAAGAAGGTGCACTTTTTAAATAAGATTTCAAAACTTAATGACTATATATATTTTTGTTTTTATAGGGCTAACATAATTGATAACCGATTGATAGCTAATTTAAATTCAATAAAATAAAATTAAGAAGCTATATGAGGAAAGCAAACTTAATAACAGCAAAATGTGTTTTTTTTTTTAAATTTCCATAGGATTGTTACAACACATACTATGTTTAATTAACACTTATTCCAAGAAGTGTAAAAGCTAAATTATATTTAAATTAAATTAACATACTTTGCTTCAGCTTCAAGTTGTTCTTCTATATTTGTAATTTTGGATTCGAGATTTGTAATGGTTGCTTTTGTTTTTGTGCGGACGTTTGTTTCAAGCTCATTGAGTTTCTGCTTAAGTTCTTTGTTCTGTCGCTCCAAAATTATTTTAGTACTTTCCAATTTTTGTGCAGTACTTCTTTCTGTACCCAATTCTGAAAATAACCAAAAAGTAATGTTTTGAATTATCTGGCAAGGAAATATAATGTGATGAATACAGGAAACCTTTTAAATTATTTTAAATTTTTCTATATATATTTTAACAATTTTATGAAACATGCATGTTATTTATTGGCTCTATATGTATTAAGACTTATTTTTTTAAATCAAGTTGATTTAACAAAAACGTTTGTTGAAAATGAATTATCATTAGTGAAATATTATCTTGATACCTGAGGTGATTTGCTCCAGAGACATTTGAGCTTTACGGGCCCTGTCGTTGTAGACTTCAGAGTTGCTCTGTTCTTCTTCTAACTCCTCTTCCAAAGCTGAGATGCGAGCCTCTAACCTTCTCTTTTCATCAATTAAGAATGAACTACACAAATAAATAACAATAATTATTATCATTTTAAAACATTCACAATATTGATAAAATAATTATGAAAAGTGGATGATGATATTACATCTTATTGGACAAGTTAGCAATCTCTTCCTGGAGTTCGTCACGCTCAGCTTCAGCTGACCTCCGTTGCCTCTCGCTGGCAGTCTGTTCTTCTTGGACTTGGATCAGTTCTGCTTCCAATCCTTTCAGCTTCCGCTCGGCCTCTTTGGCAGACTGTTGAAGTTCTTCTCTACCGAGTCTGGCCTCTTCAGCATCACGAATTGCATCCTTAAGTTGAGCCTATAAAAAAAAACAAATGTATTAAAAGCAGTGTTCACAACCATTGTCATATTTAGCCAAGATTGATAATACAGTCAAATATAAAAATAAATAATACAAAAAACACCATTGCCAGGTTGACTATTCACCTGTATGTTGGATAATCATGTCTATGTTGTTGGGATTATGACATTTATAACATAAAAAACAATGTTTCATCATGTTTTTATAATATGACTAATAGTAACATTTAAAACAAATACATTCCATAGAAATTATTAGACAGTGTATTAGTAATTAAATGAGTGGCGTAATATCCAAGATGGACACATCTGTTGTTTATAAAAACTTAATAAAAAGCAAAATTTTCTGTAACGTGGCTTCAATCTAGACCAATTCTAATGATTCAACTTGAATATTCTTAAATATAATCATCAGAAACAGTTTCAGTTGAACCTATAAAACAAAAACTGACTTTTTCTCCATGATACCTAATAAATTAATTTCTGAAAATGACAGATGCCTGTCTTAGATATAAAGGCACTCAAATAATGCCCTTACTATTTATTTTTACATTTATTTAAGGTTTAAGTATCATAACGTTATGGATTAATTACTAACAAAAAAAAAATTCTATAAATTGCAAGAAAAAACACATGTAAATTAAAGAAGAAAAAAATACATGAGGGAGAGGGAAAAATAATTCAGTGTAACTTTTTTTTTTTAAATACTAACTCTAGGTTGGTTGAAAAGAGAAGGTGAAGGGGAAAATGTCTTATCTGTGAAATGCCAAAGTTATTATTTTATTTTTTTTCATCTAATGAATAATCTGAATAGAAAATCTCCCTCCTCCTCAGTAAAAAATAAAAATAAACATACAAGGAACCTAAAAAAAACAAACAATCTTAGACCAACCACTTAAGATAATTTTCCTTGAATTAGGAGGAGGTTTTCAGAGTATTTACATTATATCAAACATTTTATTTAATATATTGATATTCTTACATAAGACACCAACTATGAATTATTTCTTAGTTGGTTTAGGCGCCAAAGTTTTGCAGCTATGATAAAGTTTATAGCGCTTCTGGGTGATTATTATATATCAAAAATAGAGCTTTCAATAAAATAATATGATTAAATTATTTAAATTGGGTTTTTAGATTACAATCCTGAAAAGTAGCAAGAAAGTCAGTTAGTTAAATAATTCACTTCCAGGACTCAAATACAAGGGAACTATTTGGTGACGGCAAAATAAAAACATTCCACACAATTAAGAAAACAACTATTTTAATTAAAAATACACAAACCTGGCATTTTTTCAACTGCTTCAGAGCGTCTTCCTTGAGCTTGGAGTGGATCTCAAGCTGCTGCTCCATGTCCTTGAAGTCAGATTCCAGCTTCTTCCTTGCGGCAACTGCGGCTGTTCGCTGCTTCCTCTCATCCTCTAATTCTGATTCTACATCTCTCAGCTGTTTCTGTAGTCCTCGGCGCTTTTCTTCACATGCTTCTTCTTTGCTCTAAAAAATATTTGCAGATTATTTATTATAACTTAAATATCTATTAATTTTTCAATTAAATATACAGCTAGGAGTGAAGCATTACAGAATATAATAAAATTATAAATATAGTTCATAATAGAAACAAGTTTCAGATTAAACTAGCAGCATTAATTCTATTTTCTAATAACTTTAATCTGCTAACGTACTTAAAATGAAATATAAAATTACATAAGAAAAGGCATATATATACAATTGAAATTTGATTTTACTCCTGTAAAATTAACCAAAAATAACAAACAAAATATAAATAACTAATCAATATTATATTATTTATCCTCATTGTCTATTATAATACATTTTTCAATTGCCAAATTTATATTGTTCGTCACTTGACAGCCTCAAGATAATAAAACTGATAATAAGGCTGCAGATAATAAAAAATAGTAAACTTATAGTAATTATAATAAGTATTTAGAATAATAATTGGTAAAAAAATCCGAACCTTAAAATTAAACAAATAGATATCAAAATAATTCTATGCAATATATAGTTTAATTTTTTAATAAGCAGTGGTTCTATTAGTATTGATGATAAAAAAAAATTGGCATATCAATATTTTGATTAATTTAGCTTTAGTCTTGAGAAATTAAAATGTTATCAAAATATACATATTATTAATCATAATTAGATTAAGGTTTCAAAATATTTTGTTAGACAAGAAAAAAAAAATGTCATTTCAAAATTTTTATTTAATTTTCTAGTGTTTAAGCATTATGTTTAATTAATTATATTAAAGCTATTTTCAAACATTTTAATTTTTAAAACAGTAAAAAATCACAAAATACTGTATCATTTTGGTTTTGAAAAGCCATTATATGTCATAAAAATATACTTATTATTTCTGTTACCTGTTCATTTAATTTATTTGAAGAAAAATGAATAAAAAAACATGCCTGTATTTATAATGCTGGTGACAATATATACACATTGGATCTGTTAAAAAAAATAATCATTTTTTGAAAAATAAGAAATTTGATGAGGAATATTCACACATTTTCACCTCACTTTTGGCGAGGAGAGAAAGTATTTCAACATTTTTCAGTATTAGTCCTGATTGCTGGAAACTTATTCTTTGTATCAACGCAAAAAAATAAATTCATCTTTCATGAGAAGGCCTTGTGTTATATTAACCTACTAAAGTTAATTAATATAACACAAATAAGCTAATTCACAAGTTAGGATATATGTTTTACCTGAAGGTCCCGTTCGAACTGCGCCCTGAGAGCCTGCATGTTGACTTCAAGCCTGAGCTTGGCGTCCTCAGTCATCTGCAACTCGTCCTCCAGCTCTTCATTCTGGGCTTTCTGTTCAGCCAACTGGGACTCGAGCACTCGTTTGGCTTTCTCGAGCTCATGGACCTGAAAGGAATCAGTTAGGTTTTATCTTCATTGTTTGGTCAATCACTGATAGGTATTGTACCTGATAAGGGGGTGAAGTTGAAGTTAGGACCAGATAACCCTTAGATAGGCAACATACAACAAACTTATCAAACAGATATTTTTTATTCTATTTTTAGAATCTATTGATTAACTTCATTCAAATCAAATTAAGAAATGGATAAGTTTTTGTAAAATAATATTTATTCAAAAATTATAATGAAAATATATAGAGCTGATATATGCAAATTTTAAATATATATATATATATATATATATATATATATATATATATATATATATATATATATATATATATATATATATATATATATATATGCAGGTAGCAATAATAACAAACCAGACATGGGCAAATTCTATCAAATGAAATAACAAAAACACTAAAATTGATGTATTCAAAATTAATTTATTTCATATTTCAAAATTTCTTTTCTGAAATGTTTAATTTCACACTTGTAATCATCAGCAACCCAAAATTATTTAAAAAATTAAGTAAATAACTATTTTATATTAAAATATGGTGGTTACAGATTAAAATAAATATAGTTAGTTTACCATGTAATAATTCAAGAGGGAGAAGGTCCTTAGATAAGTCATTCGTAATAATTTCGAATTTTTTATTCAATAATTGGTATTAGATAAATAATTAGCAATTATTTGATGTTTTTAATATATATTCCCAAACCATCTCCTTCTTATAAAAATCAATTTTTAACTTAGGAACATAGTGGAAATGTTTAAATATAAGAGCAGCTCTTAAAAGTTAAGCAAGTTTTATAATTTTTTTTTTTGTTATGTATAGTAAAAATACATTCAATATCTCTCCATTTATTCAGAAAAAAATAAAGTATTAAAACATTATTTCAATAAACATAATGCCTATACCTGCAGCAAACAAATATTAATACCAAAATAAATGAATGAAAAATGCCTAGTCCATAACTTTTAATGCTGTGGCATTTTGCATTTTTATATTAACTTTAATTTTGCACAGAAGAAAAAAGCAGATGATAAAATGAGAGGATAATTTAATTAAAATTAAATAAATGACAAAAAAGATATCCAGCATTCTAAAGACAAAAACAAAAAATAGCAATAGATTCACAGCAAAAAAATGTTGCAATGAGATGATTACACTTAATCCCCCGAACATTAATGTTTTAATTTCTAATTAACCAGGAAGATAGAAGACGAAGTATGTAAATTGGAAAAAAACAACATATTTTTCTGTCTTTATCAATATCACTCAATTATGAACGACAGAACTTAATGTTAACCTATGTTGGCTTGGGCGTAAAAACAAGAAAAATATTCAGACAGAAATGGATGAAGTAAACCTGTAAATTAATTAACTTTAATACAAACAGGGTGTCAACCAAAATCCTTTTATGAAATCCTCTAACTTTTCCTCATTCCTTTTTGGAAAATAGGACATAACTGATTTTTATAAACAATTGCAATCCTTAATGCTTGTGGCTTTATAAAAAAAATTACAATTGAGTAGTTTATCTCCACTGTGAATCCTAATCATCATTGAAAAGTTTTTAGGAAACGTGAAAGACTATACTTTCTCTCTAATATCAAAACCAATATGTTTTAATAAATAAATTAATAATTCCTTGATTTGTGGCACATATTTTTGAAAATCACTGGTTATTTCAAAAATAATCAAAAAACATTGAAAAAAATTTTTTTCTTGCACCGTATGGTCACGACTCTTCCACCACAAGATCTCTTGTAGCTGAATAAAGTTTCGCCAATTGTGACCATTTTGTATAGTCAGAAGAGAAGCTTGGTATTATTTCTTCAAGACAAGGACATTCATACAACTAAATGCAGCAATTGATTGACATCCTGATCAGTCACTCTTTCAGAATGTCATGGATATTGGTGCTTAAACTGACAATGGCAGCTTATGAGTCACAGGGAATGACTGCTATTGTGCAGTTTATAGACATTATTATTTTAAGAGCCATCACTCTAGCACTGATTTCTCCATCAAAATTATTGGCCAGGCAACTAACATCCACAGCAAAAGATTGATGCTCTTAATACATGCCCCTGCTCCTCCATTCCATCCCGCTTCAGCAACCATTCTTCTTCTGGAACTCTAATGTGTAAAGTCTTCAATGCGATAGCCTTGGTCAATGTTCACATTGAAACATAAATAGGGCCACTTTTGAAAAAGTATTAAACTTAAAGGTCCATTTTTTTAACAAACAAAAGGTGGATTGTCAGGTTTGGAGAGCAAAAATGGTATGACTTGGGGTGAAAATTATTAAAAATTGAAATATAAAAAATTAAGTTTTTGTTTACAGTAAAATTAAATCATTTTTTAGTTTCATTTGAATATAATGATTAAAAAAAGCTTTTGATGATTTTTTTTTTTTTTTTTTAAGATTACTTAAGAAATGCAAGTTTCATTATATTCCATGAAAAAAAAGGCTGGTGGTTTCGGAAATAAAATTATTGTCACACAACTTTTTTACTATTTAGGTTTGTTTCTGAAAACATTTAACAATTTGCTACATTGGGTGTTTGTAAATGGGAACCAATACTTATCTCGATTTCCAGCAAGTTTTTATATGTGAGTTGAAGTTTGTAAAATATCTAACAAAAATAAACTGCCTCTCTTTAGTACATAACTAAAAATATTGAAGCAGTCCCCTTGAAATTAAAAACCAATATTGTGACCGAACCGATGATGATCCTGAATCATAACAGCAGAGTCCTATTCACGTCCACTAGCTAGTAAAATTTCTTGAATTTGATGTTTTTTTTCCGGAAATTTCCTGATATTTTCCAACTTTTCCAGGTAAGGAAGACAATCTGTAAAAATCCTTATATTTTCATCAAATTAAATTAAAAGAAGAAACCACGGTTATTGCATTCTTAAAAAGGATAACAAGTTAAACATTTTAACCAAACAATCAAAGGACAAGAGCAACACTGCAATGCTTCTTATGGAACTACTAACACTTCAAACTTGGAATTAAATAATGAAACAAAAATTCAATTTTAAATGGATGGGGAATACATAATGATTTATAATAATGAAAATAAACTAATGCAAAAAATAACTAAGCTAAATTATAAAAGTGCTTTTATTAATACTAGAAATTTAAAAAGTGCGGTGATCATAGAATAAGAGCTCGGATTTTCACTATCTACCAAGGAGACAGGTATATTTAGATGAGGGTATGGAAGCAAAATGGCTATTAAATTTAAAATTTAATTTGATAAATAAATAAAAATTAATTCGAAAGCTGAGTGATTATTCAAAGGCTGCTCTAGGCGCTCTAGCTAAATTAATCTAATGGAGGATCACCTTACCTCTTCCTATTTCCACAAGAGCAAGTGGAAAAAAAAATTCTTGTTATATAGGTACAAATTTTTTATTAATTAACCAAACTGAATTTCAATCTAATAATTTCCTTAAATCAAATATACTGAAAGGTTAAACCTTCAAGATAAATTTGATATTTACAATTAAATTTTATGTAATAAGTGTGAATCTTTCAGGTATCTTTAATATAAATAAGGTTTAATTTTAAAAAAAATATTTATCTCTTTTTTTTTTTCTTTAAGTATAACCCAGTATAATTTATAGCTCTTGTATAAAATAAAATTAAAATTTATTAATTTGTAACACAAATGTGTAGTTTATTTCTGTACAGATATTTACTAAGGAATGATTTTGAGATATCCTAATAAAAACTAAACCTACGTTCTTATCTGCAGTTCCTTGATTGTTGGCCAATTCATCAAGTTCTGCTTGAAGTTGGCGTTTACTTCTTTCAAGTTCTTCCACCTTTTCCATGAGGTCATCAAGTTCTCGGGTAAGAGACAGCACTCGAGTCTCCTTTTCTCTAGCTTCTCTCTCGGCAGCATCACGTTCCAGAGCATTTTGCTCAGCAACTGCCTATTTAATCAGGTTAAGTTATTAGAAGTTCATGATTTTTCGACAACTACACTAAATTGTTATACATGAAAAACAAACAAAAAATGTTTAAATAATAAACCTAATAAGTTTAGAAGATAGCAGGAAGTTCATAGCAAAGCATTTTATTGTAAATATATTTATAAACTTTATTGTGTATTTTTAATAAACTTGTTCGGGAGACAGAAATGATTTTAATTATAAAAATGTAATCATAAGGTTGAACATAATTGGATTAGAAATTCAGAACGGGTTTAAAAATGTAATCATAAGGTTGAACATAATTGGATTAGAAATTCAGAACGGGTTTATCTCAGAAAATCAAAATTTTCAGGAGATAAATGTAAATAAAAATTAAATGTTTAAATAAATTCACATATGAAAGTTGTTAAAATAAAGTTTGCAAGAAACCCCGAAGATAAGCAAATAAAAAAAAAATTGTCATGTTAAGATTTCAATATGGCTAATTGATAATGTGCACATGTGAAAAAATGTTTGTTTTATATAATTCAAAATAATATATCTAATTTCTTATTTTCCTTTCCATTAAAAAAAGTCAATATATTGAAATTACAAATGAATAATTATTATATAATTAATGAAATCTGAAAGAAATAGAAATACTACTAACCCCTCGGGAATTATTTTTTACAATACAAGTACACCACTAAAAAACACTTCATTTTTAAAACGAATTTGCAAATAAGTTATATATGATTCAAATTAAAATAAATTTAAAGTAAGTAGAGATTTTAACTTTTAACAGAGAAAAACACTCAAACCAAGTTGGAGCAACAAATGTGCTATATGTCATTACAAACAAAAGTTATTTCTAAGTTTCAAGGTTTAATGCATACGTAACCCATCAAATCGTAGAGTCATTGCAAAGCCATTAAGTGACATTTCATAACATTAAATAATTAAGACTCTTGAAGAATTTTTCCTTTATCAAAGCAGAAAATTTTGTGCTTGTTGTAATTATATTTGATATATAATAGAGTTTGCATGATTTTCGTAAGCTTACAGCGTTTTAGTATCGATAGATAAAGTCAAAATTCACAAAACTGCACTTAGTGATTTTTTTTCTCAATAAATCTACAAAATACTTTGTTTATATACATAATTTAACTAAAAATAGGATCTAACCCCATTTCATTTAAATATTCTATGATAAAATAAAGTTAGAAAAATTACCTTTTCTTCTGCTAGTGTCTTATCAAAATTCCTCTGCCTCTTCTCCAAGTCAATAACCTTTGCTCTCTGTGTTTCAAGATCAATGGTGATGTCTTCAAGCTCCGACTGCAGCTTCTTTTTGCTCTTGTCGAGCTTGTCATTGGCTGTTTGCAATTCCTCAACTTGTCTCTGAAGTAGTTCAATGTCCTAACAGAATAAAATCATTAATAATAATTAAAATGAACATATAACCCTAACAAAAATACATTATTCATGAAAACAAAATGAATTAGATATCGTTTAAGAAAATTTTTTTTAATAATATTCAATTTTGCTAAGAATATTATTTAGTTGAAAACAAAGAATATCAAAACTTACTTTGAGCATTTTTTTACGGAGTTCCTCCAACTGTGCCACTTGTTCACCTTCTTCTTCAGCTTTTTTCTTCATCTCAGCACATTGCTGATTAAGTACGATGATCTGTAAAACAATAAATTCCAAACTTTAAAAAATAAAATAAAAAATAACTATAAGTGAAAGAAGCATTCAGTTTGGGTATCACTTTAAAAATCACAATGTACGAGAATTCCATAATTATTTTATCAGGTTATCTTCAGTTTATCAAGTTACCAGGCATCACATGTTATGCACAAGTATTAGCCCACTTGGCCATCCCACTTCTATTTTTCCATGCCACATTTCCATCAAATTACAGTTTGGAACAAGTACAAGTTACCTAGGCACGAACTTTATGTTTTGTAAGAGATATTCAGAAGAGAACTCCTAATACTAGTAAAATGTATTAGATAATTTTGAGCCATGAAAAGCTTCTTATTTTTTCACCAAATTTTTATTGAAAATTTTCGCTTGTGATTATAAATTCAATTGATTAGGTCAAAGGTCATTTTCCAACTAATGGGAAAAAAAAACTAAATCGTTGAAATATGGATAAAAATCTTTAAATGCAATTTTTATATACAGACCAGTAATTAAAAATAAATCAATGTTTTATTATTACACAGATAGATAAAAATTAAAGTAAATATAAGCAAATGTAATTTTAAAAAAAGAAGAATAAACCAACCTGTTTTTCAAGATTCTTCTTGGACTCTTCCTCTTCTTCAAGCTGTTCTTGGAGCTGCTCTTTCTCACTTTCAACTTGTCGCAGTTTTGAGCTTAAGGACAATTTCTGACGTGACTCTTCCTCAAGTAAAGCCTATAATTAAAAATTAATGTATATATTTATTTGATTTATTTACAAAGTTATCTAGTATATAATTTTTTAAATTTAATATTTTACATTTCAAGATTACAGATAATTTTGATTGAAAATTATTGTACAACAGACCTGTGCTTCGAGCAGTTGTGACTCCATCGTGGCTGAGGCTTTGAGTGCAGCCGATGCCTTCAGCTCAGCCTCTTCTAACTGATTGTTAATAGAATCTGATTCTTGTTGCAGTTTGGCCATTTTTTCGGCCATTTCAGCTTTTGTCCTCTCGACCTCCGCGAGGCGAGCTGACGTCTCTTGAAGTGCTGTCTCTGCCTGCTTTCTTCTACGTTCACTTTCGGCCTTGTTAGTTCCAGCGCTGGACAGTTCATTAGCCAATTCAGCTGCCTCGGATTCCAACTGAGACTTGGCTTTTTCCAGAGATCCTTTAGTCTGCAGAACAAAACAGATGTATGAATATGAAAAAATATGTGTAATTAACAGAAGAAAAATTTACTCAACATTTTATATCAAAATATTGTAATGATAAATGTTAAGGAGAACTTTACATTGATAATTTTACATAGGTTATAATGAAATGGCAGGACTGATGAGGTGGATTATACCAGTATTTTTTCAATTATATTTGGTTGATTGTATTGTATTAAAAATTAATGTGGAATTAAGATGGATATATTTTTTAATTTTTGTTTATGCAACTTAAAATTTAAATTAACTTGTAAATTTAAAAGGAAATCTGTTTCGCTTCATTGAAATTAGTAACTTTTAATTAAAAGGACACACATCACAGAAGTGAATATTTGAAGTACATTTTAAATAAATAAAAAATAAAAAGAATTATAAGAAAAGTATTTTTTATTTAAATATCTTGGAAAGCCTAGTCACAGTCCAGTAACAACCTCAAGACAGAAGGTAACATAGAGTCAATATTTTGGAGTTAATTGGAGTCAGTATTTTTACTATAACAGTGGGCATGAATAAGTTACAGAAGGAAAGCCTGAAAACATATCTGTACCTCTTCATAAAGCAAAGAGAATCTTGAAAAAAAAAAAAAAGACACGGAAAATAGTAAATAATAAATTTAAAGTTGAAACTTATGTTTTATTTATTTTTATTGTTTTAATTAAATCATAATCTCTTGTTTTAATTATAATTATAATTTAATTCACAGATATTAAACCAACCTACCTTCTTAAAGATAAAGTTTCTTCCTTAAGAAATTAATGCATATTTTTATTATAAATTTTTCTTTAGTAATAAATTATTTGTGTGGGTAATTTTTATTTTATTAACCCTGCCAGAATAACTTTTAATTTCCAAAAATAAAAATGTTAACAATATATTATTCACATAGATAATTCACACACCTTTTTCAGTGACTCCATTTGTTCATTAAGAGCTGCAACTTCCTGAGTATGCTTGTGCCTCATTTCGGTCAAAGAGACTTCATGAAGCTGTGTCTCCTCCTCCAATGTCTTTTTAAGAGTGGCCAATTCCTTTGGAAGAAATCAAACAAAGCATAAATACAGAAAATATTAATTTCTCACTTCTACATTATTTTATCATCTAATATTAAATTTATATATTTTATGGTGCAATATCGGAATTAAAGTGTAAGTTTAAATTATGTTTTCAGTTAAATTCATAAATTATGCTCTTAAAATTAATACTTAATAACGACCACAGTTATAGCAATGAAAAATTATCAAAACTGCAAAATTAAAAAAAAAATTGGAAGAAAAAAGAATTCTAATCCTATTCCAAATTGAATCTAAATAAAACAAAAAAAAATAATAAGATATTTTCTTTTTTTACATTTTTATTACTAATTAACATGTTTATAATTAAAACTACCAACTTTTATAAATCTAAATGAAAAACTATAATACTAATGAAACCAAATAATAATTAATCATACCGAGTAAAGAATATTATAATTACTCATAAGTTTTGAAGTGACCAGCACCCAAAGTTAATAGACAATTAACAGAGTTTTTAAAATTTATTTTAATTTAACTTAGAACCATTATTAAATATAGATCCAAAATCAGTTGTGCTAATACTAACACATTTTAAAATCTGTACTATTGGTTTGTAGTATTTTAGTATTATAATAATAGCATAGATAAGTAAATATGAAAATATTGCAATTTAATACTTGCAGAATACAGATAAATTTAAAATTAAATACTAGAATGCCACTAACGTATTAACAGTACAATAAAGCTGAGAGTTGAATCTTTGGCTATCTACCTGTTCTCTTTTGGTCCTCAGCTCTTGTTGGGCTGCGGTTGTGTCAAGTGAATCAAGAAGTTCATTCTTCAATGCCTCCAATTCCTCATTTAATTCACGTTTTTGTTTCTCTGCCTTCGCTCTGGCATTCTTTTCAGCGTCTAGGTCTTCCTGCAGCTCAGCAAGTTGGGACTCTAATTCTCTGAGTGCTTTTTGAATGCCAGCTTTTCCTACAGTAAAAAAAAAAAAAAGAAAAACATTTTCATTTTAAGCAAATTCGTTTTAATCCTTATTTTCTTCTGTATATACTTTTAAAATCAGACCTGCAGCTTCTTCATCTATCCTCATCAAAGACTGAGCAAGTTCTTCTTCTCGCTTTCCTAACTGGAGCTGAAGTTCTTCTACTTGTATTTTCCTTTCGTTAAGTTGTTCTTTCAAATCATTGACCTGAAATTGAATATAGTTTCAAATAATAGCTAAATTAAATATACATAATTCTAAGAAATAACAGATAGCACAGAGCACAGAGGATACAGGTAAGGTATAAATGTGAATTACCTCGGTTTCAACCTTCCTCTTATTTCGATCCATTTCCTGCCTCTGCTGGTGGTCTTTGAGCAACCTCTCTTCCAACTCAGCGATACTGGCTTCATGCTTTGCCTTCAGCTTCAGAAGATGCTTTGCTTTTTCTTCCTCTTCAGCAAGGGTCTGAGCCAAGTCACTGGCCCTTTCTTCAAGAACCTTTCAAATAATAATTCACAATGGATAAGCTCAAATGGTAACTATTTAGGTTTGATATGCTGTCATTAAAAAATCAGAAAAAAAATCTATAAAATACCTTCTTCTCCTTGACAAGCTTGCTGTTGGTGTCTTCTGCAAGAGCGAGATCCTCTTCCATTTTTTTAAGCCTAGCATCACATTGCACTTTCTCAAGTTGTAACTTTTGACGTGCAGCTTCCTCCTCCTCCAGTTGCTCTTCTAAGTCCTGAATTAATTTATATTTAATAATGGGAAGACTTAAAAGTTACCTTCAATATATTTTATCTATAAATATGATTACCTGTATGTTGAGTTGAAGTTTCTTTTTCTCATTGGCTAAAACATTGGATCTTTGCTCTTCTTCCTCTATTCTGGCTTCAAGATCATGAAGGATTTCTTCCAGCTCTTGTTTCCGGACAGCCAATCTGAAAAAAATAATGAAATAGATATCATTTTCAATACCAGAAAAAAATCAGTTATCATTATTCTGCTGAAAAAAACATTTATTAGGATTAAATAATTTTCACTTTTATAGAAAAAACTAAAAAGCACACATCCATAACCTATGTTAAGTATATAAATGAGGAAAACATTTCATTACAAATTTAAGTATGAAATGTAACAAGTTATTAGTCCAATTGAGTAACTATACTAACTGATAAATAGCCTTTTTTTCTAAATTTATAAATTTAATAACAGTAGAATCACAAAATATTTCCTATCCCTATAATCCCATTATATTAATAATTCATACAAATTTGACAATCTCCTAAAAAAAAAAAAAAATCCCTTTAAACCATATAAAACAAACCCATTGCAGTCCTCTAGGTAACCCATATTATTTTTAAGAGAGGAAATCGTTAATAACTCTGGAAAGGTCTAAAAAGTCATTCCAGAAAAAAAAAATCATTAAAACCTTAATGGTTAGTAAGAAATTGATTTCCCGAAATGTTCTAACATTCCTTTATCAGTGATATTATCCATTTTCGAGAACAAGGATATATATATATTAATTATATATATATGCATAATAGAATAATATCTTAGGGTAGAAATAATATCTTATATGCCATATAAATTAATAGCCATATTAGTTACCTATTTAAATTGCACAGATTAAATAGATTGTTGAGATTCTACTGAATAAGGTTTCTAGGAATCGATATTATATTTATATGTAATAATTCACATAATCTTTCACTAGAATTAATACTGTTTAAGCACAGAATCATAAATGTTTAAGATCAATTAAAATTTTAATTATGATTAATAAAAGTGAATAAGGCACTATAATAAAATGTGCAAATATTTAACCTTCCAAGAATCAGTCCTATCATTTTAAACCAATTTTTGCTAAATTTTCTGAATAAAATAAAAATATTTATACCGAGCACGCATCTCCTCTGCCTCAGCGCATAGCTCTACTTCAGCTTGCAACTGTTCTGCAAGAGCAGCCTTTTCTTCTAGAGCCAGATCTAACCTCCTTTCATATTCTTCTTTTGTCCTTTGTTGGGTTTCCAGTTTTTCTTTTACTTGCTTTAGTTCATCTTCTTTCTGAGTGAGCTTTTCTTCTTGTTTGGTAACTTCAAGAAGAGGTTTAACCTGAACAAAAATAACAATGATACACATTGATAAAAAAAAAAAAAAAAATCAAGAACTAATTGTACACAAATATTTTATAAAAATGTTCCAAAGAAAACAGCATACCTTGGTGTAAAGACGCCACCATTGCCAGTTTCTCAATTTCAAGTATGCAGAACAGTTTCTTTGGATGATCCTGATAGCATTGAGTTGCTGCATACGTTTCTGATAGTTTCTCCTTGCTAGATATCCCCTACAGAAGGCCTAAACAGTAAATGAGCAATTACTTTCATAACAAAAGCATAAAAATAAACAAGAGTTGTACAAAATTTATATTTACATATATATATTTTCCCTATAAAACTGGTGGATATAATTTAATTCAACAATACAAGTTTTCATATTTTCAGAAGTAATGTGGATCAACAACTTCAAAAGCATTGTTAATTTACATTATTAATTTTAAAGTTTATTATGAATACTTTTTAATATTAATTTGTTTGAAATATTCCAGATTCTCTTCTAATCTGTGGTATTATATTTAATACAAAACAAAATTGATATGCATTATCTTCAAAGCAAGAAAAATATACAACATTTTTTGTTTGCTTTTTTAAATATATAAATAGGAAATCAAATATCTAAGTTTATCAAAGAAAAACTTCATGAATAAACATACTTGGAAATTGACAATAAGGTCTGTGATCTTGTAGTCTCTCTCCTCCTCCAGATGAGCTAGGACACCAGCACGGAAGAAAATCTTGGATTGACCAACCCGGTACAGGTTAGGATCAAGCTCCAAGGAAGAAATCATTTTCTCGCATGCTTTCTTACCATCCATGAAACCTTTCGGGATGGCGTTAGGAGTTAGCAATTCATATCTTTGTCTGAATTCCTGTAAACATCAACAGTATTTATAGTCTAAATATAAAAATAAATAAAGTTGAAACAATAAAAAATTTATATTCTAAGTTATATTTAACAAATGCTCAATTTATTTCATGAGTAACAGTTAAGACAACTAAGCAATATGATATTACCTGGAAAGGTATTCTGTTAGGAAAACCTTGACGACAGATCCTAATTCCTTCCAAGACACCATTGCACTTGAGCTGGTCCAAGACGAGAGGTGCGTCAATCTTGCCAGCTCTCTTCTCGTGGTTGGGAAGGATACACCTCACGAAGTTGGGGTTGGTATTTCTCAACGTAATCATCAACTTAGCCAGTTGTTCTTTATACAACTGCGAAACAGTCCGGAACATTCCCTTCCTAGAGATGTCAAGCAAAAAAATCACGAGATAAGAACAATATTCAATCCTGAGATAGCATGCAATGATATGAAAGGTAACGAGTGATGTAGACTTACCGTTCAGGACCACTACGGGTAGGATATGGAGTGAAAAAAAGGTGAAAAGTTTTTTTAATAGAAGAAGCGAAAAAGTCATGCATAAATAGTTAATTATCATTTCAATTTCTACAAATAATCCCTAGGATATTGAAAATTTATAATTTTTTCAGTTTTTTATTTCAAACATCATTCAGATATACTCTAAAGCAATAGTTAACACAGACCTTTATTGCTCAACTTATCCAAGTCACCGAACTAAGACAATATTAGTTTATCACACAGTAAAAATATTAACTAAGCCAAAAATGTTTAAATAGTATCATGCAAATTTCACAAACAAATTATGCATAAATTTTCTTGAATTATTATTATTAAAAAACGAAAAATTAATTTGTTAATAATAAATATTAATTTGTTTTTTCTTATTCTGGAAATAATATATGTATTATGTATTATTGCAATATTGGTCAACATCAAACCTCCTATTAGCCGTTGAGCCTCATCCTCAAATAAAAAATTAAAAATTTATTCTGTAACTTATCATCAAAATTATTTTTTTCAATATATATAGTTCTCAATAAAATATAAACGTATATTAATCTAAAATAATTTTTTTCAGAAACAAATAATATATTGGCAAATACATATTAACAACATATTTTTATACACAAATAAACTTAGTGAAAATGATACAATTATTAAGTCTAAATTACTTTATTTTTTTTTTAAATAAAATAATAAAAGGCATTTATTATTAAGTAAATTATTATTTGATTAGTACCAAAGTCTGTTTGTTAATCATTAATTATTCCAATAATCTATTCATTCCATAGATTCTAAATAATTTAAATGAAATTGTATTTATTTTTATTAAAAAATAAAATAAATAAGGTGGTTTGTTAAATATTGATATCCAATCCCAACCCTCATATCTGGTTAGAGGTGCACAGGTGAAGTAGATACATTTAGAAAATTACTCACAAATCAAAATACATTTTAGATAGATAGCTTTTTAATCTTCTTTTTCTCAGTAAGGAGTGAATAGTAAGTAAATACCCATTCCAAAGCATCAGTGTATTGGCTAAGCAGTTTCAAGTATTCCAGGATGGCTGATTAGATTTACATAACTTAAGTGCACGGACATGCATGTGTTATCCCAATAATCTCTCCATAAACATGTTTCTAATAGAATGAAACTAACTAGACATAAAAAAAAAAAAAAAAAAATGAGTTTCGAATAATTGAATTAGATGAAAATGGAGAGATTAATAACTTTTGCAAACATTACAGTGATTCAAATAGCTACCACAAAACTCTTCAAATATTTTCCACACAGCTGTTTTCGTAAACAGCCTAATTAAATAATAAATTACCACACTGTCAGCAATTTACTTATATAAAGCCATAAACCTAACCTCATTTGACATCTGATATATAGATGTTTCTTAAAATGTGGCCTAAGCATATCTAGTAAATAGGGTGAAAGCAGGATAAAAGACGCTAAAAGGAAATGGTTACAGGATAGGCTCTGTAGTTTCCAAAATGAATGGATGATTGCCAAGTGGAAGTGATGAGAAGAAATTATATATTTAATGAATGACATAAATACAAACCTAGTTCTTGCTCCAAACTGGGTGTCGCTGAGGGCTTGGTGGGCCATTCCTACGATTTCCGCATCTTTCCAAATGTGAACTACAAACGGGTCCTGAGAGGACTGCAGCAGAGACACCACATTTTCATTTAGAGGGTCCATATTTTTCATCAGCCACTGGTTAGCTGAATAATCAACCTGAAATAATTTGCATTATTGATTAATATGTATTTAAAAGAGGTGGTAAATTAGACTTTAATTTTTTTAATACTTTAAACACAACTATTATTGAAATTTTGGGAATATTTTACATACTTCTGATTAAAAATTTTTTATTGTAATTCCAAGTATCAAATTATACTGCCAAAAATTAATTTTATAAAAAAAATTATAATAAAGTGTTATTAAAAAAAAAATCATTATGTGTTATTTGAATGTAAAGAAAAAAAAAAAAATACGTTTTTTAAATATTGAAATCAACAAAAATTTTTTTTTTTTACTATTCATGATAATAGTAATAAATTTATGAATTCATTCCATAGCTAAAAAAAATAGTGAAACTATACAGCAAGGAACTTTTTTTTAAATCTTAACATTATTCAGTACAGTCTTATTTAATTTAATTGTATTTTAATGCTATGGAGATAATTTATCGTCATTCTAATTTAAGGAGATGTTGGTTGGGGGTGTGGTCAATAGACATACTATATATTAGAGTAGTGTTTTACACTACAAAGTAATATTTTACACAATAAACAAAGTAGTGTTTTACTCTACTGTAATATATACTATGTCAATTAACTACAGCCCCCGACCAACTTCTCCTTAAATTTCTTATTTACTTTAATCCACTAAAAAATATCTTATACAGTACAGGATACCACTACAATAAGGTATTGGGTTCAGTATTTTGGTAGAGTATACTGGTTCTAGGCTGACATGCGCACAAGGTGATTAGGCTAGTATCACACTCAACCATGGTTATACCTTTATTAAAGGAAAGTGGATATGATTAAATGAAGACCCTAGGATAGTCTCCTGACCACAGGGTCGATCCACAACTGATGTAACACAATAAATAATTACTTACAGCAGCACAGTTTCTTACTAAATGACCTATCCTAGTCATTTTAATTTGACCACCAATAAATTAAGACATATTTCTTAACTAATCTACAAATAGGTTTTAATTATATAACTTTATTATTTTTCAAACTATTGAATTGTTTTTTATATTTTTTTATGGTACCATCTAGTATATCTGATAAAGGAGAACAACCAATACAAAAAAAAAAAAAAAAACTAACCATATAGGGCAATTCAACTTACCTTTCCAGCATAATGAACAATAGCGAAATCAGCTACGCCTCTGAAGTCGGTCTTGAGAAACTTGGGATGGATATTATGAGCACTGACCAGTTTGTCGACAAATGTTTTATCAGTAGCTTTAGGGAACCAGCATTCCTCATCCAGAAGAGCCATCACACCCATCGGCTAGAAAATGATTTCGAACATTGAACTTTATTTATAAAACACCAAATGTCTTATAAAACACAGGTATCCAAGTATCAAATTATACTGCCAAAAATTAATTTTATAAAAAAAAAATTATAATAAAGTGTTATTAAAAAAAAAAATCATTATGTGTTATGTGAATGTGAAGAAAAAAAAACAAAAAAAAAAAAAACATACGTTTTTTAAATATTGAAATCATCAAAAAAATTTTTTTTTCAGCAGCATTAAATGAATAATTGAGTAATTACTTTATCAATGAGGTCAATAGTTGGTTGGAGATCCAGGCCGAAGTCGATGAATTTCCATTCGATCCCTTCTCTACGATACTCTTCCTGTTCTAAGATAAACATAGTGTGGTTGAATAGCTGTTGTAGTTTTTCATTTGTGTAGTTGATACACAGCTGCTCAAAAGAATTCAACTAAAGACAAATACAAAATTTATTAATAAATTAGTTAATTTTTTTTTAAATTTGAAGAGAAAAAATAGATAAGATGAAATTACATCAAATATTTCAAATCCTGCCATATCGAGAATACCGATAAATGATGCACCCTGCCTTTTGGTCCTATCCAGCGAGCGGTTGATCCTGTTAACCAACCATCTAAACATCCTCTCGTAGCAAGCTTTAGAAATGGCTTCCACAGCGAATTCAACCTGAAGAAAAATAACTACTATGAAATAAAAATAAAAATACATATTCAACAGTAAAATAGTTTAAATGAACATTAGTATCTGAAGATTATTATTAAATTATTTTCTATAAAATGGCAAAACAAATTAAATTATTATTTTTATTTTCCAAAACATAACCAGTTTATGGTGATTATTAGTAATATAATTGCTGTTAAGAGGTATAGATTTAATATAAAAGATGAATGTTGTTGAGAGAGGAGGAGAAAGTCATGATCAACTATTATTATTAAATAATTGATATTTTCCTCTAAATATAAAGATGGAATTAGAAAGATCGAATTCATACATAGATAAATACTGTTTCAAAGTAAATGAATATAGTTCTTACTGAATAATAAAAGTAACTTTTTTCTATGAAAAATCTCATATAGAAAAGTTAATTTTTTTAAAATCATAGTTTTGTCTATGCTATAGCAAATTTATTATTCACTCAATATTTGCCTATTTATAGTATTAATATATAAAACAAATAAATAAACTATAAGTGAGCACTATATTATTTTATTTCAGTAATTATTCTTAATGTTGCATTTTATAAGTGAGAACCATATTTTGTAATTTATTTATACATCCTTACCTGCTCTTTTGTTTGGGCCTTGGTCACAAAGTCCCTTCCTACTTTTATCCTTGGTCTCAAAAACGCCTTCGTCATATCCGTTATGGACAGACCGAGCAGATGAGCCACCTTCTGAGCTACTGTATTGTCCGGGAGAGTAGCCTGGTCGGAATTTCTTTCCTGTCGGAACTGCATGCTTCCAAACAACATCACAGCACTGACTATCCTGAAGATCGCTACAATAATTTATAAACATTATTAAGATTATTCGAGAAAAAAAAACTCCATAGCCATAGTAGTCAAAAACTAATTTCATCAGTTGAAAACAACAGCATCAAAATTTTGTCTAATTTTAGTTAATTGTGTTATAACTTATGAAATCTAATTAAAAATAAAAATAAAATAAATACGAAATATTTTACTACACAGTTATATAAATGTTAACCTAATATGTCAAATATATGTTTCCGAACTGTTTTTTGGTTAAAATATAATATAAATTACAAGAAGAAAATATTTAGTAATGAAATTAATATGATAATACATAACTTTCATAGGTTTTTCACCTTTAATTTCACCACAATATTCTCTTCAATGTTAACCATTTTGTCTTTGTAATGAGCAGTAAACCATTTTAAAATTACCTGAAAGATCTTCATCGGTCATTCCCATAATTTTCATTGAGTCAACAGTAGCAGAAAATTCAGCAGCATCATCAACTCCAGGGACCGAAACCATACCATTGGTTAAGAAATGATAATTTTTTGGATCTTCAATAATGAATTCCTCTGGAAAAAAAAAAATTAATACATAAAAATATTGCAAGCAAAAATAAAAAGCAATGAAAACAATACAAAATGGTTGAATTATCAATTTACTTTTATATTCTGGAGTCGCTCCAACTAATAGCTGATAAAAGATGTGGAATGTCCTTTCTTCTTTAGCCTGTCGAATAGCTCGAGATTTTTCAAGAAGGTAGGTTTCAATATTAGCACCAGCAATGTAGCCGGATGCATCAAAATTAATCCTAATAAATTTACCCTACAAAAGAAAACAAAATTAAAATATAATGAAAATTAACAACATCCAGGTCTTAAAAATACACTTAACTTTATTTAAAAAACATTAAAATATAAAATAAACACCTTTTTTTAATTTCATCAATAATAGAGAATATTTTTAGAGATACATTTAGCCAATTAGATAATTTATTTATGTATTTAACAATGTTAGGGTCAAATCAGCCATAGAAATGAGTTTAATTTATCGAATCAAATAAAAGCAGCAACAATGAATTTAACAAAAAGCGGAATAGTTCCAAATAGAAAAGGAATAACTTTAATAAATTTTCTTTTAAATTCCAATTATTGTATCACACTCAAAGAGTTATAGCTGACTGCAAACTAGATTTATGTAATGACATATTAGTTGATTGACCCCCATGTTTTAAACAGTTATCCTGATTAGTTTCCAATACGGAGTTATTTTGGTGCTATTCAGCCCATAATTATTTTGCATATTTATTGAAATGTAGCCAATAGCCAACAAAAATATTTATAATTTTGATAAAATAAATAAAATTTTAGTTACATAAATTCCTCCCTCCAAAAAAAAGTAATCAGTTCATCAAAAGAATATACTCTTATAAGATTACAATCAAGTTTCAGATAAATAACAATTACATTATATATACATAACATAAAATAAAGTTTTATGGTTTTGAATTGTATTTATATTTTGTACCTGTAATAGTTCATTATATCCATAAAAGTAAACTTATTTTAAGTTTATTTTTTTTATTAATTTATGCTAATTGAAATAACAAATACTTACAAAACGTGATGAATTGTCATTCTTAACAGTCTTTGCATTTCCAAAAGCTTCTAATATCGGATTAGCCTGTAAAAGTTGCTGTTCCAGTTCACCCTAAGAATTAGAACGAAATTCAGTAAAAAGTAACATTATACTTTAATCTAATAACATCAAAATATAAAACTGTCAAACATAGCAAAATACAAATTAAAAAAAAAACAAAAAAAAAACAGAAAATTAAAATATCATTAAATTAATTAAAGTGCAGATGAAAAAAAAAAAAAAGATATGTGATTTCAACCAAAAGATCACTAATAATACATGCAGTGCTTTACACATGCAAAAGAAACATACTTCAACACAATTACTTAAATTCTACTCAAAATTTTTAATAAACACAACAGAAAAAAACTATTATTACAAAAAACATTAAAATAAATTACTACAATAAACTTAAAAAATTCCTTTTAAAAAAAGAATGCTACCAGTCAATTTAATTTAAAAAAAAATGCTTAATTATATCACAGACATAAAAAAACAAAGAAAAAAATTATTTAGGAACAACGAACATACCGCAAAATTTGTAGACTGATTTTCGAAGCATGTAACAAATCAAAGGAAAACTTAAGGTCATCATACATTTAAAGAATTAAAGTTGTTTAAAAATATTAATTCAAACTTAAATAAAACTAGTGAATTAATTTAAAAAAGCAAAACAAGTAGTTGGTACAAGATGCTTTATAGTTTATGATCTCAAGTAAATGTGTTTCATGTTTGTAAACATATTTCAAGATAATATTGCAGTAAATAATTATATATTTAAAGGTTAACTGTAGGCTCTTGAAATACTTACAATGATGAGAGCTTGGTTCTGAGCCTGCACCAGGCATCAAATGCAGTTTTCACATTCGAATGAATGCACATTCACCACCACAAGAGACATTTTTCAGTGCGGTCGCATGCAGATTGATAGTGTGTGCACGGGCAGAATGCCAAGAAAAAAAAAGAGGAAATGAGCGTCGATAATCAACTCCGTCGACCAAAACTTATTATAACTCATATATTATTTTGATTTTATCTTAATATATGTATGTAGCAATATTTACAATAGAAGCATTTATAAATATTTTAAACTATGGATAACTTCACATTATAATCACCAAGTTATTTTATACTCTTTGATCTGAGTAATTAATAATTTCAATATCATGCAATAAGAGTCATGCAGTAAATAATATAAAAGAGGTAATAATGTTTTAAGTAAATGAAAACTCAACAAAATGTTTGAACGATACAAGATAACTACAGTATGGAAAAGAGAGATTTTACATTAGTATTTAGAAAAGAAAATGAGTGCAGGGTGCAAAATTAAATGAGCTAAAAAGTGATAACATGTGTAAATAATACAACATTTATCTAAGTTTTATAACTTTATAAAACATATTCAATTACCTATTGCTAATTTGACATGAATAAAAAAAATTAAATAAACAAAACTTTAGTGAATGCACACATAAAAAAATTGTTTTGAACAATTTTTATTATTATAGTATGCAATATATCATCTACAACCCCATGATGCATTTTCTTACAAAGACATAGTGCTCGCTCAATCAAATGATGAAAAAAATATTCTTTGAAGAAAATTTGATTCCTCCTTAACCCTCACACCACAGTTCATGGCTATAAAAGTAAGAGTTATCATTATCAAAATTACTTTAGGAAAAGAGAGAGAAAAAATCAGATAAAAAACACCACAAGCCTTAAACAACATCTTAAATAAGAAAATTTTGTAAATTTAAACTTTTTCTTGAGCAATTATTTACGCCTGATAACTTTTCACAATTGTTCAATACCTAAATTATAAAAAGTTATACAGAGAGCTAATTATTAAGCAGTCACATTTTGTAATGGAACTTGATCATCAAAATGAGCAATAAAATAAACAAAAAGGTTTTTTAAATTTATGAAATCAAAATACTTGACAGTAATTCTACATTTTGTTTATGTAACATGATATAGTTCATTTAATAGTTACGACTGATTCTAAAATCTTGGTAACTGGACATAAAGTGGCTTTAATTGCGAGAAGAAAACTATTTACTGCTACAAGTAATAACAAGCAGACTTGTTCAGTATAAAACATATAAATAGGACACAAAGTGACAAATAGACTAGAAACAAATATTCTCAATTAACGCATTCACAGAGAAAACATAAATATAAAAGATATTATGTTTCAAATGTGTAGTAAATCATTATTAAGCTTGTAGGGTAAACTTATAAACTGGTTATTAAAAATTGCAACCATTATTTAAATCCATAATGAATAGTAAAATCCCTCAAAAATTTTTAAAATTCTTAATTTCAGGTTTCTGGGTAGCTATAATCAATTATGAAATGTAATAAATTTTAGAGATGGGTAAGTAGTCAACTGATCAATTATATGGATGAAATAAAATGTAAGGAATTTAATTTTTATAGGGTTAGCAGACGTTATGGCTCAAACATGTGGGTCGTACTAAATGTACTAAAAACTTTTAAGAATGCATGATTCAATAAAAATGCAGTAAAGAGGTGAAATAAAATAAAATATTGTGTTCTTTACTGACTAACAAAAAAAAAAAGTCAATCAATTGTAAATGGAACACAATAAAGTAAAAGTAGTGTGTAAATAATTAAAAAATACGTAAACATAATAAATAATAAAGAGTTTATTTTTTTTCTGCATCAATAATTGATAGCCCTTTATTTTATGTGATCATTCACCAGCCCCACTTTTCAAAAAAAAAAAAATTAAATAAAAAAACGATGAAAAATATATTTTTATTGACATATGTATTCACAATTAAAATTAATCATAAAGAACTTTGAATTTTATTGAAAATATAAATAAGTTCAACTAGCATCTGTGTTCTGTTATTATATTTTAGTTAAATTTATCTCCAATCTGATCCAAGATAAAACAAGGAATATTTGTCCATGGAGAAAATATTCTTCACTTCAGTCTTCTCCAATATGCTTAAAAGTTTGTCCCAAAGTTTATTCTTTTTGATTGCAAACGATATTTACGATAAGTTATGCAAGGGAAATAGTTTTCCACAAACTATTTAACTATTGGTGTAAAAGATTAAAGACTATCAGAAATATTCTCAGAAAACTGAAGTCAGCATTGTTTCCTTATAAATACCGGGACAGAAGAAAAATGTCGTTCTACAAGATGTCGACTAATTCGACGACCACGGTGCCTGTTGCATGGCTGGAGCTTATAGGCCGCATTTCTTATCTCTCTGTAGATAATTTATTCAATCTCATTAAAAGATTAAGCGCAGCAATTATTCAATTCCACACTAACTAGTATGGTTGATTAAATGGAATGAAAAGATTGGATCAGAGCGATTGGTCGCCACTGGGATGGCAGATAGAAGAGGCGGGTCTGATTTAGGCATTTCAGCAGCCAGGCAAGTTAACCACAACTTTGTAGTTTCGTACAATATAAATAAAATCATATAACTCATTATTATAACTAATGAATTCCATATAAAATGGTTCTAGACAAACAACCCAAACGAAGCGACACATCCTGCCGGGTTATGGAAAGATCAAAGAGCGATTATTCCATACTTGCTTACGCCATTGCTGCCGTGCTATCAGAACCCTTTGCTGAAGAGAAAGTCTAACCAACAGTCAACACCTGTTCGGCACCATCTGTCGAGTCCCGAAGTACCCTAAGCCCAACTCCTCGAAATTAAATAAATTCCATTCCATTATATCACTCCTTTATTGGGATTAACGAGATAGTAGTAATTAATAGTCTTCTCGAAAATAACCAATTTGCAAAAATACAGAAAAAAGTTTCGGCCGTGAATTCCACAATCAACTCACAAATTAGTGTTACCTCTCCTATGCTGATCAATAAACCTTGTTATTCCAAAATTTCATTGGAATTTAGCAATACCCAATATGATGAAAATAAAAAACAATTTTAAAAACGCAAATTACTAATCATACTCTTTGCTAATCAAAATAAAAACATTAAAAAATAAATTTTTTTAAATAAAAACAATAATATTCCCATATGTTTGAAAAAATAAAGACCCCATTTACTCCCATCTCCCCAGTACGGCAATAGTCCCCAACTTTCCTCTCCAACGTAAGGCCTATTGAACGAGCAGTTTTGGATAAAAATGTCATGGAAAATACATCCAGGCATGCATGAGCGAAAGTAGAAGAAGGTGGAATTGGAAAGAATTTATATAGGACCACCTATGCACCAACCCACACAAACCCTCAAAATTAGTTTAATGGTAATAGTTACCATAACCGTCACGAGGAGGACTAAAGACAGGTACGGAACCAAAATTGTTCCTTTATGTTTAAAATGTAAAACGTATTTTTGATTCTGAGATTTTTAATTTTTCGAATGAATAGAAAGCTTCCTTATCTAAGAAGGAATGAACATAAATTACAATGATTGAAGTTTAAAATAGAAATTACCATTACAAATGTATGAATGAACAGATATGTTACAAGAAGATATATATAATGTCAAAGAAAAATACAACAAATAAAAAAATGATAATTATGGATCTCATACATCGCCTTAACATGTTAAGAGAAACAAATTAATCTTTTAAAAGCTTAAATTCAGAACAATAATTATAAAGGTAGGTTTACAGATCATTAAATCTTATAAGGATTTTTAGAGTTCAAGGTGATACAAATAAAGAAGCAGACATTTCGTATACATCATTTTGGAAAAAATAACATAACATTTTTCATAAATAGGACTGCAATTCTCTAATTAAAATAAGATATGCCTGTATTATTTTTCTCACTACAGCCATTTTCTTTAACAGTACAAAAAACTATAACATTCCATCGAAAACCAAAATGGTAGCAAGAATAATGGAAAAATGTTTCTTGAAAAGTTGAAGAGTCCATTAGGACCAGACCTCCGTTGGAAGCTAAGAGGATAAGGCACGGGCAATAAGAAACTGAGAGAAAGAGATGAAATAAAACATCGACTTGAGCATTCCTTATGGACTGACTCATTGGGTCCTAGGAGACCGGGTTGGACCTTCCACTGGAGGGCCTCAACCTCTTAGATGTCACGAAAGGATGCTGGCTACAAAAACTAAAAAAAAAAGTTTGTTAGTGTCATTTTAGCAATGAAAGGGGAGTGAAAGTTTGGTATCGAATGAATACCCGCTTATCGTCCCTAGTTGGAAACTAAACATTAACAATTAGGTATAATTTTGATTGATGGATGGAATTTATACAAGACAAAATGTACATCATTCCTCCATCATTTCTACCAACTTTGAGCCGTTTTTAAAATAAGGGCGCATTAAAAAAATACTTATGCGTATCTCTAAGCAAAAGTATTTTTCTACAATACTGGATGGAATTCCATGAAAATGGGTGGGTGAGTGATAGGTGACATGTACCAGTCAAATGGATCTGACTTGACTAGACATAAGTACAAAACCTCTTTATCTTCGATAGAAAATAAATAAATAAAAAATTAATTCTTTGTTTTCTTTTTTACCGACGGTTAAGTACCTAATTCATTACTTTTTATAAAGGTATCAACGAATTCAATAAGGGATTAAAAAAATAAATAAAAATAAAAATAAAATAGAAACAGTGGGATACAATATACAAAATAAAATACGGCCCACGTGGATGGAGTTTCCTCAAATCGATAATTGTTCCGCTGCCAAGGGTGGAAGGGGAGTTTGGAGAAAACAGCAAATATTAAATGCCACGATGACCAGGAAGCAATGGAAGCAGAAACAGTTATCTATATTTAATACAGAATTCAATTAAGTCGACAATGTAAGAGAATAAACAAATATTAAGACAAAAAATAAACTGTCTTGTAAAAATAATAATATGGCTTAGCGAAGGTTATACGAAAGGTTTAACGAATCTAAATGTTTGATGCCCATCCTACTAGCAATTGCTTTCTAAATCGCAAAGTACATCTTTAAACAATCTTCCCACCTATATCTCGGTCTATACTTTGTACCACGGGCGGATCTACGGGGGGGGGGGGGGAGGGCTTTCGGGCTGAAGCCCCTCCCTCCCCCCAAAATGGTAAAATATAACCATGTTTTATCGGAAAAAAATATTTAAAAATTATCTCTTAAAGTATAATTATTCATGTAATTACATTTAAAAGGGCTTTAGGAATCACTGAAACACCAGTTCATATAGGTATTTAGTTTCTTTCTTATTTTCCAAAGTAATTATCGTTACTTTTATGAGAAAAAAAAGCTTTCGGGCTGAAGCCCCTCCCCAAAATTAAATCCTGGATCCGCTAGTGCTTGGTACAATCCTTAAATGCGGTTAATACAGGAAAGGATTTGCATGGATACTATTCCATCTGATATTTGTGACTCGGTTGTGAAAAATTATTCATTTCACCAATACCTCTTCATATTTATTTATTTTAATTTTATTATTTGTTTAGAGGTAGAGGTATCATTGGGTAGTATCTCCACAAGTGTTTTCATGACATTACTCCTGATTGTTCATATTTATTGAATGTATTTCTTTAATACAGTTGTAAATTTCAATAAATATATAAAGTAATAACGCTTAGTGAAGCCAGGGGTTCGATCCCGACACCAAAAATCGTTATCAGCATAAATACAATTAATACCAAAATCTACAAGAAAACTAACACAATCCTCCAACCTAGATTTTAGCATACTTCTCCTTTCAGCTGAAATACGTTTCTTATAAACATTATACCAGTGTAGACGATGTTACCAATGAAAACAAAATTACTTGATACGTTTCAGATCATACCTGGCTAACCTACATTATGAAAAAAATCCAAGGACCCATCATTACGTCCCATCTGCTAGTTGCGTAGGTAAGCGTGTCGACCTATGGTTATTGAGACTCAAGTTAAGTTCTACCATGTAATATTACGAACAATTATCGGGCCTTGAATATTATACGAGAGTGCTCTACTTAGGAAAAATATCTTGGATTTTTTTTTTACCATTCTTGCTTTCTTTGAAATCTTGATTTAAAAAAAAAAATGAGGTATAAACAAATCCAGTCTTAAAAAAGAATCAAATGGACATTTTGATGGCACTGACCGTATTAGATAAAATGTTCAAATGAGTACATACCGTCCAGCTAAATCGCAGGAAAAAAAAGGCATCTTTGTTTCAAGAATGTGAAGTTTAAAAACATTAATTTGACTTCAGCCATTTTCGGAAATGTTATCAAAAATGGAGCAAAATGATTTGTGAATAATGGAAACTTCATTGTCTATACATCCATATTTATCCACTGTTCAAATAGAACGAATTGTTCACTTTAGACCACTAATGTATCCAGGATTTAATTTTTTTTTTTTGAGGGGGGAGGGGACTTCTGCCTGAAATTTTTTTTGTAGGTATATATTTAAAGATAATTGCTTCGGAAGAAAGAAAGAAACTAACTACCTATATTAAATGGTGTTTATGTGATTCTTGAAGTCCTTTTAAATGCAATTAGACGAACGAATACTTTTAGAGATAACTTTTTTCATAAAACATGGTTACATTTTACCACTTTGTGATGGGAGGAGAGAGGCTTCAGCCCGAAAGCTCGCTCTTCCTCACCTCCATAGAACCGCCTATGCTATAAGCGATATGTTGGATAAAGGGAACAACCACTTATAGTTTATAAAATTTGACTGTTCATTGAAGTTCGTTATATCTGATTTTGATTGTATTTACATTTGTCAATAAATTTCGAGTAGGTTTTTAATTATTATTGCTAATCAATATACCCACATTTCATATACGATGTCATTTGACATAATAGAGTTCTTTAGTTAGGCGAATATTATTCTCAGCAAAAAATATCAGATCATTGTGAGTTTTTTAACATACAAGAATAACTGAAACAGTTCCAATTAAGGGCATTTTTAATTAAATTAACGGAGCTAAAATTATTGAGAAACGGTGCGTCGTACTTGTTTGAATTTTTCGTATTGGAAAGTTATCAGATCTGTTATAACCGTACTAATAATAAAGATAATAATACATTGTTACTTAAACAGATAAAATTAAATCTTATTAATTCATATTATTTAACGTAAAATTCCAACCACTAATTTACTTCGACTAATTTGTTCCTACAATAAACTACAGTTGATATAGGCAACGTTTTGTGGTTCAGCTCCATCATAATTCAATGTAATTACTACAAAAGTTAATTGAATAAATAATTTTTTAAACAAGATTATGAGATCTATGATCTATGGTGTA